CCGCAAACTTACCCGGACTAAACTCTGTACCCACATCTTACCAGTTCTGGCCCAGGCCCCACTGGCTCCCCATCACCGAATGCGTTGACTTGTGTTCAAATCCCTTCATTCCCTGGCACCTCCCCACCTCTCCGACCTCCTCACTCCCCAATCCACCACCCGGCACCTCTGCTCGACTGGCACCGGCCTCCTGTTCGTCCCTCTCACACTCCGCCCCATCATCGGTGGTTGCGCTTTCAGCCACTGCACTCTGAAACTCTGAAACACTCTCCCTCATTCCCTCCGCCTTGCCCTTTCTCTCCCCTTTTTCAAGTCCCGCCTGAAAACCTTCCTCTTCGACCGTGCTTATGGCCATCTCCCACCCACCCCACCACTGGCTCAGAGTCAGGCTCCGCCACTGTTAAGCGCTCTGAGACACTACCCTGCGTGGAGGACGCTAGAAAAGTGCAAGTTGTAGTTGTGTGCCAAACGCAGCAGTGAGATGAACTTTCGGTGCCAATTGAATTTTGTAGGTTTTTAAACGCAAGCTGTTACTACATAAACTGATACATTCCGTTCTTTAAACAGACTGAGGAGTGAATAAAACTTTGGTTTGCGTCTTCTGATGTCTTCTGATACATTAGGATTTCATTTTCCACTAATATTTGTTATAGAGTATATAACATCATAAGGTCACACCCTTTTAGCCATTGTTAGTAAAAGTTCCATTTAACAGTCATTCTTTTCAATTCCTGGCCGCAATGGAGATTTTAGCTCCATTAAATTCTACAGCTGGGTTTAGCCATTTCAGCCTGCTAGAAAACATCTCATAAACAGCAACACACTCCAATTTTAGAGAGAGAAAAATGTTAAAGGAAAACCTTACCAACCCAACAAAGTGAAGCTGCTGCCAACTGATGTCTGTGGATTTGATGGCCCCACTCTCCAGAATACAGGGCAATATAGAGACAAAGAGGCTCACCACTTTATTAGTTCCATCATGCTCTTATTTGTGTTTTTCACTAATGGACCAAATAAGGGATTTCACACCTTCATCTTCGCAGTATCCTCCTTGGTGGGAATATAACAAATGGGTATCTAAAAGAAACAATAAATGCATAAAGAAAATATGTATTCCAAGATTTATGCATTTTCTCATATGCGTGTCTTGTTTTCCTCTTCCTTAGATAATCTAAAAATATCAGTTAGTTTCCCAAAGACTACAATCTACTGTTTACCTTTTATTTAAGTGAAGTTGCAAAAAATACATTCGTTGAAACATACTGCATCCATTTACTATGTTTTATTATTCTCAGATTTGGCTAATATTTGCACAGAATATCTCTCTCCAATACAAAATATATGAAGCTATGGTTCTCCAGGTATTTCTGTGCTAACAGACTGACTGCCCCAGGCTGCAAAGTTTAATCGTAACACCCACATGTGTAAATTTAAGATGCTGGAATTGAAGCTGTTATCTATAGAACCTGAAGCATCAATAAGCAGTCAATGTCATAATTAAAAATCTCAGCAAACGTATTATTTATCATATCTTCAATTAAAACTCCCAAAATATGCAGTCATTTGCTGTAAACAATACAATTTTACTGCACTACGTTCAAAATAAAGAGAACTTCTTACCTGGTAGTGAATTGTTTAAGGAGTAATTTGTTTTTAAATGTGATTATATCTTGATGTAATAAAGATGAACTACAATATAAATGAAAGTCCCAGAAAATAAGAAGTCATCTAATTGATTAAAAGATGAGACAAATTTGTGGCCTATTTCACTGGCATTGGCAATCGCTAAACTGAATCCAATTGTTTGGGTAAATACATCAAATAGTTCTAGAAAGGGGAAAATATATGTACAGTATTGGCTTATGTGTAAGTAACGCATAGGTAGGGAAGTTGTTTTACACTAAAATTAGTACTTTCTTCTTCCTCAGGAAGAGTGTGCAGACATGTGACTATTTTTGCAAGTAAATCCCCTAATTATCAGGGTTTGTTTTTTACTGGTAAGGTATGCCAATTGGGCAGGAGAGTATTACAATATTATTAATCAATAAAGTTTTAATAACAACAACAATAAGAATCCTTGCATTTGATATAGCTCCTTATCACGTCTTTGAGATGTCTCAAAGCACTTCACAATTCCTGGGCAAGACGAAACCGTAGGGATGTCTCCTTACTCCACACGCCTCTGTTTACCCAGCAATAAGTAAGAACACGGTTGTTAGTCGATTGGGAGATCGCTTTCCGGGGGCAATAATCCCACAAAAAAACAGAATAATAATTTGATCAATCAATCCACGACTGTTTGTGGGACGCTGCTGTGTGTAATTGGCTGCCCTGTTTCGCCCACAAAATACACAGTCAATCTACTTTACAGAATATTCTGTGACGTACTTTGAGACGTCTCACAAACAGTTTAGAAACGCTAGGGGTCTTTACCCTTGAAAAGAGACATTCCTTAGGGAATCTTATAGAGGTACAGATCCAGGATTCCACAGGGGAGCAGAGGTTATGTTTTTTAAAAAAAATTCCCACTGTCTGTAATGACGCCAGTATCCCCATATTGGTAGCGGGAAATTCAAAAATTAAACTAAAAAAAACTCCATGCCTCTCTGTATCCATCACAGCCTCTAGCTGTCCCGGTCACTCACTGATAGGGTTAGGCAGAACTGGATAAAGATGGATAATGAGAGACAATTTTAAAAAAAATCTGATCAAATCAGGGCTTTCGGTGCCATTACAGACAATGGGTAAAGTCAGTGATTCAAATAAAATTGAGGATAACGCTGAAGATAGGTATTAAGACTTCTGCGCTTCCATTGATCGTTAAACATGATCAAAGTTGCTGGGAAGAGTGTTTAAGGCTGTGACCAGTTTAATAAATAAAAAATGATGCTGTGAATGGAGGGCTAGAGGGCGGAAGGATGAGATCAAATGGGCCAAGTGGTTCAGATCTACCATCTAAACCAGGGGTGGGCAAAATACGGCCCGTGGGCCACATCCGGCCATATCCAAATGATTCTATCCGGCCCGTCATTGTGTCTTGCAATAGAAAAAATTATAATTTGTTCAGTCCCAGAAAGTCGCACAAATTTTGCATTTGAATCAGACCGGGAACATCAGCCAATCACACTGCTTAGTTGTGCGCACGCTCCCTTAAGTGTTGAATCAGGCTGACGTCAGAAATGTACAGATCGTCAAATTTTCAAACACGCGCGATAACCGCGACAATACTTTTCACTGAAGAGGACGTTAATTCGAAATGAGTTTATCAAAAAAGCGGAAAGTGGACGCTGAAGACCGAATATTGAACAAAGAATGGACTTCTACAATTTTTTTTTACCAGTGTGGGTGGAAAAGCTATGTGCTTAATTTGCAAACAAAGTGTGGCAGTGCTCCAAGACTACAACTTGAATCGCCATTTTGAGAGCAAACAGGCTTGCAAATATAAGAACGTTTCTGCCGAAGAAAAAGGAAAGAAAGTGATGAGATGGTTGTTCAAATGCAAAAAGAGCCAAGTATTTTTACAAAACAATTTGCGTCCCAGGATGAGATTACAAGAGTCAGTTACGTGATTACACACAACATCGCCAAGAACAGCAAACCATTCTCTGAAGGAGAATTTATAAACGAATGTATGGTTGACTCTGCCTCGATTTTATGCCCAGATAACAAAAACCAGTTCGAGAACATTAGCTTGTCAAGGCGAACTATTGTGAGATGTGTCGAGGATATCTCTAAGTATCTGCAGTTACAAAATAAAGTAAGCAATTTTGCATGTTTTTCACTGGCACTCAATGAGAGTTGTGATGTCAAACGCACAGCCCAGTTGATATTTTTTATTCGAGGTATCACCAAACATTTTGAGCCCACAGAAGAATTGGCATCAATGCAGTCAATGAAAGATATGACAACTGGAGAAGACTTTTCGGAGGCAGTAAATAAACGTATCTTAAAATTAGGAGTGGAGTGGAAAAAATTGGTGAATGTGACCACTGAATGGAAACCCAAATCTGACAGGCAAAAATGTTGGGTTACTGAAAAGAATTCAAGATCGAGTCAAAGAAACAAATCCAGAACAGAATATGGAAGGGGGTCTTTGTGCACGATTTGCATTGCAGTGTCGAGTCATTTATGACGAAACGATTTATTTTGTCGCATCAGATAGGAAACAGGCTGCTCGCCCACTTTCCAACTTTGCAGCAGATTACCGTTTGCGATCGAAGCCTTCAAAACCATACTTCGTCACCACTTGACCTATGCCGAATTTCCTCGCCGATTCCAGGATATCAATTTGATCGAAAATGACCTGTCTTTGGTCTCTTCGCCCTTCTCATTTGATGTTGACAAAGCCCCCATTTGACCTCCGACTCGAGCTTATGGACCTGCAATGGGATGGGATCCATCGTTTGTGGAGCAATTCAAATCAGTGCTGCGGAGAGAGAGTTGGGGGGGTGGGGTGGGGGGTGGGGGGGTTTATGCGTAATCGTTCCAACGGACCATCTCTGGGAATTCCACGTGTCGGTGGGAGTGCATGGAATTCTCAGCTTGGGTTTGGATGCTCTTGAGCAATTGGTGATGGGTCTCTGCACCTGTGCCGACAGAGCCCATTGGCCTGAGCGGTATTTGCTTTAAACAGCGCCGCCTGTGGCGGGCGGATGCAATCACTTCAGAGCGACCCTGGAAACTTACCCCCTATCACGTGACACTGGCGTCACGTGACACTGGCAACCCGCAACCCCCCCCCACCCAAAAAAAAACATGGCGCCATGTTGGCTTCAAACAACACAGCGGTGTTTCTCTGCCTCCACCACGTCCGGTTGGATCACGGACCTCCAGCCCCACCCGCCCCCTTCAAAAAAAATAGAGTTTATTTTAATCCACCCTCAGGTGGAGGTGGGGTCTCAATTCGTGCGCCTTTCGTGTTCCCGACCCCGCCGCCTGCGGTGCGGAATCTGCCGAGCGCGGCGCGGGAGTGGTTGCTGCCTGGAGGTGCGCGCGCATCGCCCCGGAGCCAGCGGACACGTCGGAGGAAGTAGCGGCGCGAGCGGCAGCACGAGAGCAGCCCCGGCCCCGGCCCCACCGCCCCGCACAGCCCCGCACCGCCCCGCACCGCACACAGACATGGGTGAGTCAGGCCCACCGAGAGACACCGAGTCACCGCCCGCCCGCCCGCCGCTGGGGCAACCGGACCCTGCGAACCAGGGGCCCTCTCATGTCCTGGTAACCGGCGCTGACACATTGAGATACCCCTCAAACACACACACACACACCATATACACACACACACCCCATATACACACACACACACCATATACACACACACACACACCATATACACACACACACACACCATATACACACACACACACACCATATACACACACACACCCCATACACACACACACACACCCCATACACACACACCCCATACACACACACACACCCCATATACACACACACACACCCCATATACACACACACACCCCATATACACACACACACCCCATACACACACACACACACACCCCATACACACACACACACACACACCCCATACACACACACCCCCATACACACACACACACCCCATATACACACACACCCCATACACACACACACACCCCATACACCCCCCCCCATACACATACACACACCCCATACACACACACACCCCATACACACACCCCATACACACACACACACCCCATAATAATAATAATAATAATAATAATAATAATCCTTGCATTTGATATAGCGCTTTTCACGTCGGGAGGACGTCCCAAAGCGCTTCACAGAACACACTGTAAAGTGAATTGACTGTATATTGTGGGCGAACGCGGCAGCCAATTGCGCACAGCAATGTCCACAAACAGTCGTAGATTGAAAATGACCCAATTTTTTTTTATTATTGTTTTTTGGTTTTTTTGGAGGATTATTATTATCTTGTTGATACTCGTCAACAAGGTGATGTCTCACCACTGTAATCATAGACAGACTGCAGACATGGTTGGGAAGAGAACTGCAGACATGGATGCAGTGGCATGGAGAGAAGATAACATGACCAAATCCAGTGGCAGCCGTTTCATAGCCAAGACCAATAATTTATATTTGAAATAGACTGAGAACAGAGAACTGTCTGCAATTGTGTAGCCTAGAAGCTTTCTGCTTAAAAGCAGATATTTGAAAAGGTTAATGATGTCCTTTGAGAACACAGACTTCAGATGAATGCACATATAATACCAAATGTTGCACACATCAGTTTTGAACCCTCACCTGCTTATTTGGATACAGTGACAGCTGACTTGAGCCCAGGTCCACACTGCATACAGCTGGGCGGAGCGATTACACCCCATACACACACACCATACACACACACCCCATACACACACACACCCACACACACACACCCCATACACACCCCCCATATACACACACACACCCCATATACACACACACACCCCATATACACACACACACACCCCATATACACACACACCCCATACACACACACACCCCATAGACACACACCCCCATACACACACACCCCATACACACACACCCCATACACACACACAGCAGAGCAATCCCCCTCCCCATACACACACACACAACAACAAGATTCCACTTATAGAGCGCCTTTCATGTCGGGAGGACGTCCCAAGGCGCTGTACAGTTGGGTCAGGACCCGAGCATTGGGGGGAAATGGTCAGGGTGAGGGGAGGGAAGGGAGGGAGCGAGGAGGGGGTAGAGAGTCGAGAGGGGAGCTGAAGGTTCGGTCAAAGAGAAAGGTCTTGAGACCGGCCTTGAAGGAGGAAAGGGAGGAAGCGGCGAAGGCACTGGGGGATGGAGTTCCAGAGCCTCGGGGCTGAGAGGCTGAAGGCCCGACCACCAATGGTAGGGCGATTGGGGCGGGGGACGTGGAGCAGACCGGAGCCGGAGGAACAGAGGGTACGGGCAGGTAGGTAGGAGGATAGTAGATCGGAGAGATAGGAGGGAGCGAGGCCGTGAATGGCCTTGTAGGCGAGGATGAGGATCTTGAATTCGATCCTCTGGGGGATGGGAAGCCAGTGGAGGCGAGCGAGGGCGAGGGTGGGAATGATGTGGTCCCGAAGCCTGGTGCGGGACAGTACACGAGCTGCAGAGTTCTGAATGACCTGCAGTGTGGAGGGAGGGCCGGGAAGGCCGTCGAGGAGAGAGTTCCCATAGTCCAGCCTTGAGGTGATAAAGGCGTGGACCAGAGTTTCAGCAGCGTGAGGGGTGAGGTAGTGCCGTAGTCTGGCGATATTCCGGAGGTGATGGAAGGCGGTGCCAGTTGTGGCGCGGATATGAGGGAGAAACACCGTATACACACACACAGCAGAGCAATACCCCTCCCCATATACACACACCCCATATACACACACAGAGCAGAGCAATCCCCTTCCCCATATATACACACAGAGCAGAGCCTCTCCCCATATACACACACAGAGCAGAGCCTCTCCCTATATACACACACAGAGCAGAGCCTCTCCCCATATACGCACACACACGCCCCACATATACACACAGAGCAGAGCAATACCTCTCCCCATATACACACATAGAGCAGAGCCTCTCCCCATATACACACACAGAGCAGAGCAATACCTCTCCCCATATACACACACACCCCCCTTATATACACACAGAGCAAAGCAATACCTCTCCCCATATATGCACAAACACACCTAGCAGAGCCTTCTCCCCAATACACACACCCTATATACACACATGGCAGAGCAACTCCACTCCCATATACACATAGAGCAGAGCGCCCCTCTCCACACATACACATACAGCAGGACTCCTCCCCCCCTCCCTCCTCTCAATACACATAGCAGAGCCTTCCCTTTCAATATACACACACAGGGGGAGCAAACCCCCTCCCCATATATATATACACACAATAGGCCTCCTTCCCCCCCTCCATACACATACTCATAGCAGAGCCCCCCTTCCTCATATACACACATGCAACAGGCCTCCTTCTCCCACACATTGCAGTTGTGCCCCCTGTACACATGCTGAGCAGTACCCCTTGCCCATACTCACAGCAGTGGCCTTATGGCCAATGAAGGACTGTCTGTCCCTGATCCCATATGCTGCAAGTTAAGATTTCACCCTGTAGGCTTAGTATGAATGTTCTGCTAATGCCATGTTGCTCTGCTTCCTTAGTGGATGGTCTCATTTGTGGGTGCTGAAACTTATTTTCCCCCACCCCCGCCGAGCAGACCTGAAACTAAGTTACTGATATTTGGAATCAATTCAAAGGGACTGAAAACTAATAAAAAACCCTGTTCGTCGTGTTTTAATATAATAAAACAGGATGAACAGTACCACAGTTTACCAGGGGAGATTTGTGAAGCACTGACACACATTCTGATGAACACTGGGGAGATTCTTTTAGTCAGCAAATATGGTTTAGAAAGATGCACTGCATTGGAATCATTACCCTTATTGAGAAATGATAATAACAATCCTTGCGTTTGATATAGCACCTTTCAGATTGTCGAGACATCTCAAAGCGCTTCGCAGGATAGACTGTAAAGCTCAGTGACGGTATTTTAGTGACTGTGTATTTTGCAGGCAAACTGCGGCACCCAGTTTGCGTACGGCAATGTCCCACAGACAGTCATGGAATGAGTGACCAATTTTATTGTAATGGAATGATAAAGTAACGATAAAGGAACAGAATTCTTTTATGAAAATAACAATACATTTCGGCCAGCATAGCTTCAGAAAAGGTAGGTCTTGTCTGACCAACCTCATGGATTTCTTGGAGGTGATAACATCTCTTAATTGACCTGGTGTAACTCAACATCCAAAAAGTATTGATAAAGTACCACATGGGAAACACTTTTACAACCTAATCACAGTGGGTATCATGGATAAGGAATGAGTATCCATGACATGGTAGTCAGTGATCTTGCAATTACCCTCTGTGTAATTAAATATTATCTGGTCTTTGTCTTAAAATTGGGATTTCACAACCCTGAACTTGTACAATCTTGTCCTGCTGCCTTAACTGAAAGTATGATTCTGAAAGTCGTAATCCAGGGGCGTGGGGTATCATGAGCAGTGGTTGAAGAAGGATATGGGTCTCATTTACACAACTACTTGACAACGTAGATAATTGTAACGGTAAGGTGGTATGATGAGATGAAATGGACTGAAGGACCTTTTATATCTCCACTTCTGTGATTTCTATTAAAAAAAATTATTTCACACTGGAGATTTAAAATATTTGAAATCATTTCTGATTCCTCAATGAAAGTAGAAATCCAAACTGCTTGAACAAAAGACCGCTTGAACAAAAAAAGAGTTTAAATTGTGAATGGTTTAACCTAATGCATGATCCAATGGGCAATGAAGCAGGCATTAGTGTTGGCATAAGCATCTTTTCCAAAAAAGATTATTATTTTAAAATTCGACCATTTAATCATTTTTATTTTTAATGTTTTATTATGATTTGCTGCAATGGAACTGTTTTCATGCTAACTTTCTCCATTTTGAACTTGAAGCGCCTTGGGACGTCTTCCCGACGTGAAAGGCTCTTAACAAATATAATCTTGTTGTTGTTGAAGGCATTTGACTACTTTTCCTTTTGTTGGTATGATTTCCATGACGGCACTCTTCATATGTGAGCTTTTACAGTAAGTGGAAGCAAACTACATAATTGAAATAGGATCACAATTAAGCCTCATCTTGCTCCCAGCCAAACAACAACAACACGATTAGATATGTGTAGCGCCTTTCATGTCGGGAGGACGTCCCAAGGCGCTTAGCCAAAGGTCCATTTGCAAGCACCTCTTCACATGGATAGTAAGCAGAACTCAGAATGATTTTCTGCTCCGAAACTCACGCCTTCTACTTTCAATGCTGCCCTGGCTGAGGTCAACTAATTTAGCACCAACTTTGAATTGAACTTGGGATTGAGATAAAGTTGAGACTGTGGTTAGGCATATTTTCATTTGATTGATTTCCATGCACCTATTCAGATATACATTTCAATAGAATATTCTTAATCAAAAATAACTTGTATATAATGCTACCTCCAATTCAGACTACCTCCTGTACCATTCTGGATTGAAATAACACTTGTGCAAGTCCTGCTTTATGGAGGTCAACATAATCTTCAATAGTATTCTGCATTTGACATCTCATTATTTCCTGTTTACAACAGTGGTTAAACTCAGGGAGGTAAATCAGATAAATAAAACTGAATGTTTCAAAATGGTCCTCAATAAAGCCTTTTTATATTGGAAGACCTTTGTATGCAGGGTCATGCTGTTATTTAGCCTGATGCGCGTGACTTAAAAGTGCTGCTCTACTGACAGCAGCAATTCTAAAATATAAATAAAATGTTACTACTGCTGACTACAGCATCCTGTGGTGGGTTTTAATTCTGTCACCCGTTAGCAGAATTGAGTTGAGATGTCATTTTGCCTGTAAAGGCCAGCAATTAGGTGGGGCTTGGCTTTTAATAAGTGATATAGTAGGTAAATACAGTAATGAATGACACTAAATACTTTAGTGGGGCACCATTGGGGAGGAGTTTATCAAAACCAATGCGTCAACTGGCTTAAGTTCTGAGCACGCACTGTTTATACAATTAGAGTCATCGGATATAATAATAATAATCCTTACATTTGATTTAGCCCCTTTTCATGTTGTTGTGACATCTCAAAGCGCTTCACAGAATATATTGTAAAGAGAATTGACTGTTTATTTTATGGGCATAGTACGGCAGCCAATTGCGGATACCAGTGTCCCACAAACACTCATGGATTAGTGACCATTTTTTTTTAGGCATTATTATCTTGTGAAAGCACTCCATCAATGACTTTAACAACCAGGTCCCCACTTCCTGCTAGGTGAATAGAAGCATGTGGAGTAGAGCGAGCGTACTTAACCACTAAGTCAGTTGATGGCCCATTCTCTAAACCACTACAACTTTGGGTGTAGTTCTGGCATTCATGAGTACATATAACAAGATGTGTTTTGATCAACTGTGCATGCTCACAGACGATGCACTTATCTACAGTCAGTTATTATACATATCCATGAGTCACAAAATGCCCAAAAGTATAATGCATTTTTAGTTTGTTTTGTATAAGTTTTTAAGGGATGCCCAAATGCTCCATGAAATTTGGAAATTAAAGTAAATTCCTGAGAGTTTACCTCTAATGGAAATATGGTGTAATTCCTTGACGAATTCCCCTAATGGTAATATTTTTAAAATATTTTTTGTGCCTGTAACGGTTATTTCCTGTTAATGTTCAGGCCCACTGGGCACCAGATTTACTTTTTAGGGGACTTAGGCTGCCAAGACCTGTTCCTGAATTGTGGTTCAATGATAACTTTGTAGTCTAGCACATACTGTGTATAACCCATCTGTGAAATCTCAATTTTATGCAACTAATGTCTGACCTGATTGGTGAAAAATTCCATAGTAGCCCAAGCAGGGGGTGAATCAGAGGCATCGTGACTCTTGATGTGAATCTTCATAGTAAACTAATGGTAAATTATTGAAAACCTTTACATCAATTTCCCTTTAAACCTTGTCATTTAGACGTTAAATATCTAATTTAGATCCGTCCGAATCAATACAACTCATCTCTACAACAGCCAGTAAATTTATAATGTGAGTTATCAGAGATCTGGATTACAACAGTAATAATAATAATCCTTGCATTTGATATAGCGCTTTTCACCTTTTCTAGACGTCTCAAAGCGCTTCACAGAATAGACTGTAAAGTGAATTGACTGTCTATCTGTGGGCAAAAACAACAACAAAATTACATTTGTATAGTGCCTTTCACGTCGGGAGGTCGTCCCAATATTTTTCAGGTTCTCAATTCAAAAGGAGAATCTGGTGAGTTCTGTTATACAATAGGGAAACGCTAGGTCTGTGATATATGATTGATAGAGCTGTCTATTCCCACAATTATCTCTTTAACATTTGTGTCAGCCTGGCTTGGTTGATAGCGCTATCACTTTTAAGTCGGAAAGTTGTGGGTTCAAGCCCTACATCTGGACGTTGAACTCTGTCAAGTCTGACACTGCAGTTCAGTCATGCGGGGGTGGGGGGGAGGGATGTAGCAGTATCAACAACAACTTGCACTTATATAGCGCCCTCCACGCAGAATAGCATCTCAGAGCGCTTAACAGTGGCGGAGCCTAACTCCGAGCCGGTGTGGGGGGGAGGTGACCGTAAGTACGGTTGAAAAGTTTTCAGATGGGACTTGAAAAAGGGGAGAGAGGGCCAAAGCAGAGGGATTGACGGAGAGTGATCCAGAGTTTCTGCACGTAGTGGCTGCAAGCTGGACCTCTGATGGTGGGGCGGAGAGTGCGAGGGACAAGCAGGAGATCGATCGGTGCAGTCGAGCGGAAGTGCCAGGTGGTGGACTGGGGAGTGAGGAGGTCAGAGAGGTAGGGAGGTGCCAGAGGGTGAAGGAATTTGAACATGAGTGCGAGAATCTTGAAGTTGAGAGATCCAGGAAAACGAGGAGGCAGAGGGAGCCCTCGACACAGATAGAGGATGTTGTTTGTGACTTTGACAAGCTCTGTCTCTGGTCTGTGGGCAGGGCGTAAACCAGACGGCAGGGGCTCGAGGAGGGAGTGGAGGGAGAGAGGTGACCGATGTTGACCAGTAACAATGCGTTCCAGGACGTTAGTAAGGAAGGGTAGGTTGCAAATGGGACGGTAATATGAGAGATTAGAGGGATCAAGGGGGGTTTTTTGAGGGGTGTGATAACAGTGTTTTTCAGGGGGAGTGGAACAGAGCTTGAGGACAGAGACTGGTTGATTGTGTTGGCAAACAGGTGGGAGAGGAGGAGGAGTTGCACACACCTATATACACACCATAATATAGGTGTATCAAATGCAAGGATTATTATATTATAATTGTGATACTGTGTTTTGAAAACATCTGCCTGCCTGCCTCCTCTTCCTCCCCATGTCCCCTAAAAAGCCCCTCCTGCCTTCTACATTCTCCATGTTGTTGTTGAAATTGCTAAATTATCGCTTTACCTAGCAATTTTGATTTGATTGATTATCTTGACTTCATTGGGCATTTGCTGAAGGGAAATGTCTATCAAATAGCTCAGGAGGAAACTCGGAAGTTCGAGATGGCAGCTGTAGGAAAACATTACCTGGAGGTTCGATTCATGAGTACACACCTATATTATCCAAGGCATGGTATCCACTTTGATAAGTATACAGAGAGGAATGCAGGTACTGCTAAAGCTCTGTGCTTTCAAGTGTTGACAATATCACTCAATGGATTGGGATGTGTATCCGAGCTGTGGGCAGGAGAGGAGAATAGAATCATTGCTCTTGTGTATTTCTTGCTGTGTTGTACTCCTCACCTGAAGCTCACAGAGAGTTTCTGGGACCTGCTATCTACCAACAGTCAATTCACTTTACAGTATATTCTGTAAAGTGCTTTGAGACGTCTCGAAGACATGATAAGGCGCTATATTGAATGCAAGGGTTATTATTTTTGAGTGCTCGAACCTGCGCTTATTGCGTATCAAATGACCTCCTTGGAGGGAGGAAAGTGCAATCTCAGAGTCACAACCACAACAACAACAAATTACATTTGTACAGAACCCTATTGGTAAATATATTGTTAAACCAAAAAACAGCTGAAGTAGCATTTGCGGAAACCTTAAAAAAAACTCACTGAAAGGATAGTGTACTGTTAAATGCAGTTCAGCTTCCTGACCAAACAGTGGCATCAGTTTTCTATTTTTGACTATCATACAAACTTCCTTCAGTGGGTGAGATTTGGTAGTTCACGGCCAGAGGGACTCATCCTCTTAATAAGTGAACTAGGTTCTCATGCTCAGCTGAGTTTGGGTATCAGTATCAGGTTTAGTTGGTCTTGGGAGTATTGTGGAAACGCCTGTGGCCTTAACTCTTCTGATCTTTTGCCTGAAGGAGGCAGAAAAATATAAGAAACTTTCCCCAAGAATGTTCAGTTGTGATGCTGAACTGCATTTAACAGTACACTATCCTTACAGTGAGTTTTTTTTTAAGGTTTCCGCAAATGCTACTTCAGCTATATATTATACAGACAAATACTGGAGTGTCATATCAGCTGAATCCAGCTGTGTAGTTGTCACTTAATAATGGTTATGGTACAGGGTTGGGTAAATGCTCATACTTGTATCTCAGCGATTGGTGTTAAATTGGTGTAAGGAGATATATTTCTGGTTACCTTCAGCCCAAACCCTGTTTCGCGGAACAGGCATGTGAAGCAGACTTGCCTCTTGCTGTTTCAATCATTTTATCAACCTTTTATATCATCCTTCATAACCTATTATTTTCACACTGCAACAAAACGTTGTTAAATTGGGACGTCCTCCCAACGTGAAAGGCACTATACAAATGTAATCTTGTGGTTAAATTGACCAAAATTCGGAACAAAATAATTCCAAAGTATATTCCATTTTAACTCTTGTTTAAGTTCTATTATTGAAGAATCAGGTGTACTACTTCAGATGCTAAAAAAAATATTTTTTTTGGTAAACATTCTTTCCAAACTGCAGGGAGCTTATTCAGCAAAATATTTAATGCTTTAACCGGCAAGCGAGAAATGCGGATATTGATCCTGGGTCTCGATGGAGCTGGGAAGACTACAATACTCTACAAACTACAAGTGGGTGAAGTTGTCACTACCATACCCAGTGAGTATTTTGAACTGGCAAATCTGTAATAAGCTATTATGCTTAGCAAAGCTTTTTGTAATACTGTGTATTATTTGTTTTAAATATAAATATAGAAGAGAAGGATTTCACCTCCCCCCGCTTCCCCCTCCCATGTGAACTTCTAGTTTTCCAATTAATACTAAGCTTTTTTAAAACAATTGGTTGAAAGAAAGAGTAGAAAGCCCCAGTAATGAGTTAGAAATTTATGAGTACAGAAAATTTAGCTTATTTTGTTCTGGAGGAGGGAACCTGTAACATGTTAAGTTATTATAATAATAATAATCCTTGGTTGGCAGAATATAATTGTCAGTACTTAGTCAAATGTTGCTGTATTTTTATAAGTCAGCTGGTAAAGATCATTAGCAGTCTTTAACAAATATTGTATTGCATTCACTCTAGTGCTATGGAAGCATGCATTGATTTGGTAAATAATAGTAATAACAATAATATTGGTAAATGTTTAATAAATTAACTAATTTGCATGAAACTGCTGAATTTATTTAATCATCGTTTCATTGATTACACCACATTTTTTAATTTACATGTTCCCAGTCTTAGCTGGATGCAACTAGTGATTATAGTTGAAGTGCAGCTCACCATTAGCCAACCTCCTCTGCTCTTTTCTTCCTCCTCCACAATTTTTAAAAATAATGTACATTACATTATAATTGCTTTTATTATAATTTAGCAGATATGAAATGTATCTCAGTTAAGAGCTGCTTATCAATATTATTTCATCATAGATTTTATATGAATGTAATGACTTATTGTAATGAATTATAGTACATCTTCATTTGGGTGTGTGCAGTATTTATTTATATTTATTTGTATAAAGCAATTGTAAAGTGGAATAACGTTTGTTTTCTTTTGCAGCAATTGGTTTTAATGTTGAAACTATACAGTACAAAAGGCTTAAGTTTCAAGTATGGGACTTAGGTGGACAAACCAGTATAAGGTATGAAAATATTTATTTTGAGTGCTACCAATATCAATGTTGTTCAGTTTAAAAAAATTGCAAATCTTTTTGCAAATAGTTGATGTAGAACTCCGTTCAAGACATCAATTTCCAGCAGCCTCCGTTGACTGCAATTTGGAACCTGAAACTGGGAGAGAGGATTCACTTGAGACCAACCCATTATTTTCAGGGTTTTCTATTTGCAATTCCTTTCTTGAAGCTGTATTTGTTGCACTGCTTCAGACTTGACTTTCAACATCATCAAACACAGTTGCGTTCTTTTTTCTCTTTCAGGCCATATTGGCGTTGTTATTACTCTAACACAGATGCAGTGATTTATGTAGTAGACAGTTGTGACAAAGACAGGATGGGAATCTCAAAGTCAGAACTTGTTGCAATGTTAGAGGTAAGGTGGAAAAAATCCTTTTAACCCTTAAAATATCTACACTCAAATTATCAAGAGGATGCTAAGTGGACAGTAATTGCTTTGTGACCGGAATTTATTTAAGCAGTGTAAAAAAAGCATTATGGGAAGTTCTTGCGTAGTGTATTAGTATTCTTCTGCTATACAACCCATGAACTGGTCACAAAATGCATTGCGTGCTTTATGATGATACAGCACACACTATAGATGCCAGTATGTGAGGAAGAAAGGAATTCAGTCACATGAACTACATGTGTTTGCATCAGTGTTTAGTTTCCAATTAAAAGTTTCATCTAACTTTTTATCATTTAATTACTGTACTTACCTAATATGTGAACTGCATGATTTATAGCTTACTAGTATCACCGAATCAAATTCATTTAATTTCATCACATCTAGTTCATTTTTGCAAAGATTCGGTAGAGATTGGGAATTGATGCAATTTAACATATCAACCCATAACTGAAAAGAAAACCACAGATTTGGACAAAACCAAAGCTGGGAAGCAAACTGACTAAAGGGACCTGCCACATTTAGCATCCCATACTTGCATTGACATTTAAAATATTCATACACATCAGAGGAAAACTATAACTGTAATTGTTATTAAACCATTTGTGTTTTTTTTTGGTCTAGGAAGAGGAGCTGAAGAAGGCCATTCTGGTTGTTTTTGCAAATAAACAGGATATGGATCAGGCCATGACTCCCTCGGAAGTCGCCAATGCATTGGGTTTGTCAGCTCTCAAGGACAGGAAGTGGCAGATATTCAAAACCTCTGCAGTCAAAGGCACTGGACTAGAGGAGGCTATGGAATGGTAATTGAATTAATACTACAAGATCCAAGGATTTTTTTCTAACTCATTTTTGTATCTTCTCTCTCACGTGTGTTCTGAAAAATAGAAAGGCAACAGGCTTGCGTTCAGCTACACAAGAAAGTTTCATTTTACCATTTGCAAGAATGTACTGTGATAGTACTTGAAGAAAAATACGCTATTTTACTGAGTTTGTATAGCTTGAAATAGTTGTGTGGGCCCTTTATTAAAGGGAAGCAAAGCTGGGAAAGTACTTTCTGTTTAAAATACTCCGAGGCTGAACAGGGACATTAAAAAAAAATCCACGACTGTTTGCAGGACACCACTGTGTGCAATCTGCTGCCGCATTTCGCCCACCAATGCACAGTGAATCCACTTTACAATATCTTTTGTGAAGTGCTTTGAAACTTGACTGGAGATTGAATGGAAGAATATTATTGGGAGGGAAAAGCTGCGTCCCCAAACAATTCCCATTGCTTCAAATAAGGGTGGCTGCTTCTGACTGGACTGAAAGTAAATCTTCAGCTATTAGCCTAGAGTTTAATTTAACCAATCTTCCAAGTTTCTCTCCTCGCCTCCCCCACCTCCTCCACACAAAAGAAATCTGGAAAGCATTCTGCTTGTAATCTGCTCTGAGACTGGGATTTTGCAACCAGGAACAGCCTTAGAGGAGAATTATCCCAGAACTTTGTATATGTGTATATCTAGAACCAACAATAGGGTAGGAGTATTATTTTAGCCTTAATATCCATCGTAATTGGTTTCTGCGTGGCGTTTTGAACGAGCAGAATAGATATAAAAGTGAGTTGCATTTGTCCTAACATTGTCACTTTTCTTGCAGGTTGATTGAAATGTTGAATAATAGACAGTGAGGACAACTGTTTCTTTTTGTATCTATTGCAAGAGACTGCAACAACTACAGATGGCAGAGATCTTGATATGAGTTGTACAAGAGTCACTTAACTCCACGGTGTTCTTCATTTATTCCTGCACTCTTTTTTTTCATTTGTATTTATGTGTTTTTCAATTAGAAGCAAGTCTTATGATTTTTGGTTGCTCTCTCAGTTGAAAAGGTCGAGGTAGTCTAATAGGGCATCAGTGAAGGGTACCCTTTGTTGTATGCGCTAACTTTCTGTTTGTAATTACTGTAAAACACTAATAAACAATTCTTTTGTTTAAATCAAAGTATATATACTTGTCCATCCTTTTGCTCCATTAACGGAAATTACTTTGAAGATAATGAATACAGTAGTTCTTTAATGACTGTTGAAATGCCTGTAGTGCAGAGACTTTTTTCCTAAATGTCTATTTAAAATGTATATGGTACAAGAATTCAATTGAACATGCAAAATAAAACTTGTAGCTGATATATATTACAAAATTGTTCCAGTCTCGAGTATCTGTTAAATGTCTTGTCTTAAAAAATCTCTATGAATTGAAAAATATCCTGTTTGGTGATTTTCTGTTTAAGATTTGAATTCTGTGAGAGACACAATGATTTATGATTAAGTCAGTTGGCTGCAGGGGATTGTGGATCATTAGCAGAATTTTATTTTAGATTGTGGTCATTTACCAGAATGACTGGTGTTCATTTGAAAACAGTTTCAAAGTTTGTACATTTGGTTACGTGTATGTCATGCTGTTTCTTCTAAACATGATAGCCTGCCAAATCATATGATTTTTCTAATAAAGGTAGAATTCATGTTGTTTTCCTTTGTAATTGTTCTACACTTGACCTCCAAATTACATTTGTATAGGGCCTTTGAGGACGTTCCAAGGCTCTGAAGCTTTATTATACAGCACATCAGATGTATAGTAAAGCTTCTTTCATTCCAATCTTGTAAAATGTATTCTGTACTTTAACAACTTTGACTGACATTTCAGTTTTGCAATAGTCATCCTGCTTACATGTAATAAATTACTACTGAATTTTAGAGACAGTTTTGGGATGGTTGGTGGAGGGAGGACTTGTGGGACTCCTATCTGCTGGGAATTGGGCAAATTCATCTATCTCACATGGGTCCTTTTCAGTTGGATGAGAGGAAGAAGACTTAAATCCCTTCAATCGGGATTGGGTACTAACCAGATTAATTGAATTTTACCTTGGATTTAAATAAATTTAACACCTTCATATTTGAAAAATGTTTTAAATATTTAGTGTACTTGTACTTTAAAGAACATAATCAAAAACATACTCAAACCTAAATATGTAATTCGAAAAGATCTGATCATTCTGAACCTGTTCCAGAAACAAGCTTTGCAATTTTTTGTATATTCAAACACTAACCACAAAACTGAGAATCTTTATCTTGAATCTTTTGGACCATCTTTATTAAGTTCCCTCATCTGAAAAAAGTGCATCATTGCTTTTAGTTTTTATAAAGTTTCTTCAATATTCTTCCAAATTTGGAAAAGTGCTTGATCAGTGTTTGTGTCTGGTGATTGCTACAGGAAGCCTTTTCCTAACACCAATGGTAACCCACAGTGCCTCCTGTAAACCACAGCTCCACTGTAAATTCTGTTAATGCAAATACTGAAGATTTGAAAGTCCCACGAAATACCATATCAATAGCAAAGGGTCTTGTTTCCCACCTCCAGAGGCAACAGCACCCACTTCTTTTCTCATGTAGGACAAAATGAACTTGTCAAGTAATGTTGTTTTGACATTACTGACCCTCGTATGGACCACGACCCAGAGATTGAGGAAGAAAAAAGTTTCAAGTCACAGCTGAGAAACCACTTAATATGTGGGTGTTTTTTAGCTGTGTTGCTCACGGTGTCTTCAATTGGATTCTGCAAAGTAAATATGGTGGAATAAGGCACTCATTCTCAGACATAACTATGAGCTTCACATGTTACTACAAATATAACCAAGCTAAATATGCCACTGTAAAATGCTTATAGCACTTAACCCATTTAATTTTACTACGTTTAAATAAGTCAGATTGACAAGAATTAAATTCACAATGAGCTTGACAAGTAGGCTACTTGAGAGCTGTTTCTTGATTAACCTGAGAATGCTGCGTTCCTCTCACAGCATCAAGCTGTTTTTTTCAATGTCCGACAAACTGAGCTTAACAACCCACCTTGTTAACCTGTTTCATTTGTTAATTACCATGATAAAGAAATGGTTCCTAGTGTCTATCTGAAAATTACCCTTTTCAAACCTAAATGTGTTTCCTCTTGGCTGATGCCCCAGTGTATTTGAAAGTATTTGAAAGTTTACTTTCTCAATGTTGTGGAGTCCTGTTGCGTAGTGTTTAGAGCACTCACCTTGCAAGCGAAAGGACTAGGATTGGATTCCCATGCAAGGTGAAACCTTAGGCAAGTTTCCTTACTCCACACGCCTCTGTTTACCTCGCAGTAAATAGGAACCCGGTTGTTCGTCGATTGGTGGAATGCTTTCCAGGGTTAATAATCCCTAAAAAAAAAGGTCACTCAATCCATGACTGTTTGTGGGACACTGTTGTGCGCCATTGGCTGCCTCGTTTCACCCACAAAATACAGTCAATTCAGTTTAGAATATATTTTGTGAAGCGATTTGAGACGTCTCAACAAAGTGATAAGGTGCTATATCAACTGCAATGATAATTATTTTTAATTTAGATCCAATTAGAAATCACTGTTCTTGAGCTTTTTGAATCATGAAAATGCCACAAGGATTAATACTGTAAGGTAGTGGGAGCCAACCTTTTGGCTGTTGAGGGCCAGATTCCAGATTTGACAACATCTGCAGGCCTCATATTTTTGTGTTTCCTTTCCAGAAACATAACCCATAGGAATGAGAAATCCTATGTTTTAAATTGTGTAACTATTAGTTCATTTCACTATATTTTAGTTACAATGCAAACATTAAACAGGCAATATAAAAATTCATGCAAATTTGAAAACAATAATACAGCCAGTGATGAGGCTTTTGTCTCTGTGTCTCTCTGTATCTGTGTGTGTCTGTCTGCGTGTGTCACGTATCTATCTGTCTCTGTCTTTTTTCGCTTGAATAGCTGTAATGTAACCAGATGGCTTGCTGATAATTTTGGATTATCTTATCTTATCTGAGGCCTGTTAACACCAAGAAAGTAAAAAGGTGCTATATCAAATGCGAGGATTATTACTATTATTCTAAATCCTTTCAATTTTGAATGAATAAATGCTGAACTAATCTTCTATTACAGTATGGTTTCAGACCATGACAGGTCACCTTCCCGCTTCCCCTCATCTGTGACCATTACTTTGGGATATGACATGCAAATCAAACATTTCATTTGCTGGTTTAATTCACCAACATAAATGAATCATCACATAAATGTATTAACTTGTGCATTATCAGCTGGGTCTAAATACATCCTTCACGCAGGGTGTGCATAACTTGTGATTACCGACCATCCAATGCCTGATTTTAATATTTTCCATGAAGCCATTTCACGCAGTGAGCTGCGTTTCAAAATGAAGATTGCATTATCAGTAGGCGATTGAGTAACAACTTCTGTTTAAAAAGCTTCCTCAATGCTGCAAACTGGTTCAACAGGTCCTTCCTCAGAACTGTCATTTCCTTAACCCAGCAAATTCCTGGCATTGAAATAGCAGCTCACTTTCACATTTTACAGACTCCAGAACTGCACCACAGTGACGATTAAATGCAGCTCCCGAAGTTTATATTCATCTCCAAACAAACGTTTATCAGAGCAGAACATGTGATATTCCGTTAGGCCTGTGGCTTCTCACCAACACTTTTTAGCTTTAAGTGTTGATTTGGACTGGTGCAAATGAACAGGGTTTTTGCTGCACTTTAGCGCACAGCAAGGGCTCCAAACCCAAAAAGAAAAGGTGATGCTCCTTAACGATAGCATTGTCTAATTGTAGATTTAGTATGATTTCTCTAGATAAACATCAAGCTACAATTTACATGTTACCAAGTGGGGAGTTTCCTGGCCAGTTCAGTTGCTGTTTCGGGGAAGAGAAGCTGAAGAAGGTTATTGCTGAAGCGGACTTCAGGAGATTATGGGGTGGTGGAAGTGGTCATCAGAGAGAGAAACCTGCTGTAAATGTGGTGGGTGACTGAGGTTTGTAGATAGAGAATCCCAAATGTGTCGTGACTCCTCCGCTCACCCCCTCAAACATCCTCTATCCTCTCATCCAATGCCAAATGCGAAGAGTCCTAGACTTTTTCATCTCAATTTGAAAACTTTTGCTTGGCTACATCCTCCTCCTCCTCACGCTCCCCCACCCTCTCATGTCCCCTCTCATGCCACCGCCCTTCCTGCCTTTTGCAAATCTCCAGTAAAAATAAGGATACCTAACAGATACCATTGTCCAGAAACTGCTTATGATATTGGTTTACATGCTTTAGATGCTGTTTGTGCATGGACCTTTTCAGTAGACCAGGCTGTGACAAATATTGGAAAGAAAATAGGTTTATTACAAAATATTTCTCATCAAAAAGTACAGCAAGATACCATTAGTCCCTTTAGAAAAATGTTGAAATCACCAAAATAACACATTCGCCCATAAAATACAGTTGCTGCACTTTACAGTATATCCTGCAAAACACTTTAAGAATTCCTTCAGATGTGAAATTATTATTATAAAATAAACTAGTTTTAAAATCAGAAAATGAATTGTACAAGAACATCTTAAACTAAGACATTGCTTCGATATTCTGAATACCGGACTATATAGTAATTAATTTTTACATCAGGAATTCTCCCACTCGTGAGCACAAAAGGTCTGCATATTTCATTAGGTAACATTTACATTAGGATGAAGGCATCCCTGAAACAAACAACTTCATTAAACAACTTTGTTTTTTAACAAAAAAAGACTTTCTTCGGTCTTTATGGTTCACAACATTTGAGAGAACAGTATATCTTTGAGTTCAGTGGTCTGTGGCTTAGCGGTTCTTACATTCCAATGCATTTTATAAAGATTGCACTGTAAAAACATTGTCTCTGGGGATGCTTGTGAGAATTTTGCAAACTCTTGGGAGTCTTCGAAATAATATGCGCTCCATTTCACGGTGGTTAATTTATCTGTTAAAACTCTGAAATACTGTGCTCATATAACTTAAAATAATATGTAAACAATGTAGATGTGGACACTTCACACAATTTACAGGGTCACAGAGAAAAATGCTTCTGACTGTGATGGGAAGGCAGACACGACGTATAAACTTATTTACCAAACGTATGTTATTTATTTGAAGTGGTGTCCCCCAGTGTGATTGGCTTCAGGTATCACATGGTGATGGGTTGCCGCATGTTTCAGACACCGGCCTGACCATAAAAAAGGATCGCAATGCACTCTCTTTTTCAGTGTAGTCTAATATGTCTGTATGTTTACTGTGTTGTTGAATACAAAAGCATATTTTTAAAACTTATATATATATAAAATCTTTACAGTAGAACAAGTTCTCATTCCTTTTCTTTCCAACCGATGGCATTTTTTCCAAATTTGTAGACCAGTCGACGCCCATCCATTCGCTCCAGAATCCCCTTTTTGTAGTAATATCTACACAAACAATATATTTATAATAGTTAGTAAAGTAAGTGTGGAGGTTCAGCCACTGCATCTTCTTCAAGCTGATCACCATTACAAGGGCATATTGGAGCTACAAGGGCATATTGGAGAGAGTACAGTGATGATACCAAGTTTGATAGTTAGTATTTGACACACATTATGAGGAGAGGCATGGAAGCTGGGAACATTCACACTGGAGAAGAGAAGGAACAGGGGAAACAAAGTCTAATAATATGCTTAACATGGACAAAAAAACAATCTAAAACAAGGGAACTGAGACTGAAGCTGGGAAGAGCAGGGGTGAACAGACCATTTAGATTTAACTTATTTCCACAGACAGTAGTGAATGTGTGGAATGGGCTAACCATGGAGACAGTAGGGACGAACTGTGTTGGCAAATTCAAGAGAGAATCAGATAGCTCTTTTGATTGAGGGATATCACAGAGAAAGAGAGGCAGAGATAAATTAGGTTTAATCTCGAAGACATGATAAGATGCTATATCAAACTCAAGGATTATTATTATTATGACCACAGAGAGGATTGCAATATTTTTTTCCAAACTGGTTTACGTAAGTGAGTGGGTGTTGAATGAGAACATGAGTTAAAACTATCTCACTGACCTCATGGCACGGCTCAGTTTCTCATATGTCATGGTACTGTTGTTCTTTTTCTGTCCCCACAATTGAGCAACTGAATCCGACTTCAAGAACCGGAAAGTACCTTCTGTCCTGTCTTCCCATTTCAGCAATCCTGGATTTACATCAGGGTTTTGCAAAATATTGAGAATAAATTCCCACAGATGTATTCCACATGGACCTGCTTCAGAAAGTAAATAGCATGCGTCACCTCCCATTAAGAACTTTGCCATAAAGTCCTAAAAACAATTGCAATACTTTAGAATAGAGCTGTACAATACTTCCTTATACATAACCTCGCTCAGCGAAATGGGATGAAGGAAGAAGAAGAAAATACATGAATTCCAAGTCATTTTAGGCATGATTAAAAACTACAGAGATACAAGCTGTTAGAACTATCCATTGCTGCTCTATGATTTTTCATGACTTGCTTGCTTTGAAATCCACAGTAGATAAAGCAGCAATCAATTCCACCTTGTTTCAACCTGTAAATTAATTTTGCCTTAAAATTTTAAATTACGCAAAAATGGTCAAAAAACCCTTGGAGGTTTTCTAAATGTGGAGGTTAGGTTCTTTTCAAGAACTATGGAGAAAACTTCCAAATTAAGAGTGCATATTAACATGTTTCTATTCTGTGTTACTTTAGATTTTAATACAAACAAAATCTTACAGGCTAGGATGGTGAAATTTTGGGCACACCCTTATTCAAAGTGATCTCGTCCTGATTTTGTCCCATTATTAGCAATAGAATATTGTTTTAACAAGCTGATATTGGCTTGAGTTCAATCCAAAGTGCAGGTTTAAGCAGATAATACTATCAGTTGATTTCACTGGGAAGAATATACCAGTATAGCATCAATAATGTTGTCAGGACACTATATTTTTGAAAGTGGAAATGAGATTCTTTATTTCATGCTTGTGTGAAGACACTTACTGTACTTGTTTCTGTTCATTCTGTCATTTTCATTCAGTGGTTTCTTTGGCCTCCCTCTGTTCCGTTTTTCCAGTTTGGGAATGTTTCTGAATGCCGACTCTAATAAACCAATGGTGAATAATTTTTACTCAGTTGTTGGGCAGTTTTATTGAAAGTGAAATAACCAGAGCTACGTCTGTTGTTTCACTGTAAAAGAATTTCAGAAAAGTTTGAGGTTTTGAAGCAACTTATTGGCATATTAAAGCTTCACTCTATTGTTGTAGGTATTAGACATGGTAACTCTAATCTCTGCAGTTGTCAGTAAAATGATTTTGCTGTAAAGGACCCCCTGATTTTTTTCTTTTCTTTGATACTGTAACTTCTTTACTGTGGGCTGAATAATAATACATATTGATTGTATCCATAAAGAGCTTATCTATCTCATTGCGCTTCTGATAAATAGGACATGACTGTAGACCAGAGGATAGTGAAACACTGAGTTTGCCATCTATGAGCATCAAAAGGGATAGCTATTTTGTACTTCTGCAGTGATGAGGGTTAGATTGAGTGTTAGTCAAGACTTTGGAACAGTATTTGAGTTTATGCAGTAAAAAATAGCATTCAGCATAGAGAATGTTGGTTCAGTTAATACAGTGAAACCTCACGTATCAATATACATCAGTGTAAGGCAACATCACAGCATTCAACTAAGAAATCGGAGATTGAATCTCATTTTTAATTTGTGCTCAAAATTTCAAATTGGAGAGGTAGAGTAAATAAGAAAGTGTATCACATATAAATAATGGTTTAACATTGCAAAAGAAAGTTATTATCTATTTGAATATATGAAATAATACATATTTACTGTGATCAGCGGTGACCTAGAACCAGGTGCAGGAACTGGACTACCAGATCACAAGAGGATTGACTTGATTTCAAAATTCGAAGCGCATCATCTTGAAGCCAGCTCAGCTCAAGGAAAGTCACCAGTTACTATACCTTTAAATTAGGCTCTGCATTAGGTCATATGAGAGTTGTATAATCTTCTCATACTGTTTAAAAGATGTAGGTGTTAGCCGATGGATGAAGAGGTGGGGAACTTTGGCAGAATTCTTACCTTTACAGAAGTTGCCTGGCACCTTGTTATGACTAATATAGCTTACATTTCCCATCATTTTCAAAGACCCACTTGGAACAATAAATGGTGAACCTATTGCAAAGGTAAAACAATATAAAGATTTTGTAAATACTCTCAATATAACTTCTCAAATAGTAACATGATTAATAAGAGAGAGATTACAAACGTATTCTTGCTTTTGCTTGCCTGGATATTCTTAAACTCGACTGAATTTTAGCATTCATTTAAGGCGGAGTATAAGTTACACCCAATAAAAGGGTTATTTCAGCGGATTTACTTTAAATGGCATGCATTGTGGTTTTGTTTGGATGTTAACATTACAAGGTTAATCTTCATTAGCATAACAGAAAATGGATTACAATGAACTATATTTCTAGGCTTCAGTTTGATTTGGTTCATAGAGTTTAAATTTGGTACCTTTGATTTAGCCTTTAGCGCTAGAAATGTTACAACCTTACACCAGTACATATATCGGCCAGCCTATAATTGGCTTGAAATAATCACAGGACAAGAATGACACATCTCACAATAAAATTCCCAACACCATGCATCCAGTAAGAGGCTGAACAATTTCTGCCTCTCATGTTCTCTTCGCCTATGATCTAATCACCAAATAAAACTACAAGGTTCACAACACTGCTAAATCACCTTCATGTCATACCAGCAGATATGGTCACCAAGTAGTTATTTTTCTGACCTAGAGCTTGAGAATATAATATTTGAAAGCTAGAACCAGCAATGTGAAATGCTTTGAGTCTCAATGATGTGATAAGGTACTACATCAAATATAAGGATTATTATTATAGCAATCAGCAAGAGGACAGCAGCACTGACTTCAACTGAAAGACTGCTTGCTGAAGCAGAAAGCAAAGCAACATGCTGGACTCCTTTCTATCCAAATCTCTGGCTACCTCTGGGTTATTTACCTCTCATTGGACATGCAATGTTCATTAAATATTCCATCTACATAATCCTAAATAAATTCTTATTTTAAAGGACTGAAACAAATACAAAGCACAGTTCTTGTGGGTGGAAAGGAAAAATAATAATCCTTGTGTTTGATACAGTCAGCCTCCGAGTTAGAAGATTGTGAGTTCAAGCCACATATTGGGAACGTTGAGCTCATCGTCCAGGCTAACACTGCAATGCGGTGAAGGGGAAGTATTGTATTAGTAGAAGTAACCTCCTTCAGATGAGACGTTAAACTAAGATTCTATTTTCCTGTTCAAATGGACATTAAAGATCTTATTGGCATTCTTTTAAAAGAAAAGAGAATTTTTCCTGGCGTGCGTGTCAATGAGGCACCAGAGAGAAAAAAAAATCATTGTTTTCATGGTTGGTCGTGGGACATTGTTGCATAGAAATTAGATGTTGGGTTAATCCACAAATATGTGGATATGAAGCGCTTTGAGATGTTTCGATGTTTCAAAGTCAAGATATTTCGCCCACATATATACAGTCAATTCACTTTACAGCATATTCTGTGAAGGGGTTTGAGATGTCTAGAAGACATGAAAAGCGCTATATCAAATGCAAGGATTATTATTATTATTACTATTAAGAGGTCCTGTATCAAACAGAAGGACTGTTATTTTATCCCTATGATGCCAGAAAGTTAATTGCTGTCAAGTACATCCACAGTTAATTTGCCTGCAGGAAAAAAACACAAATATCCTTGACAGATTCTTGACTTATAGCCTTATCATATTATCAAAATGTCTCAAAGTAGTTCACAGGATTATAAAGTCCAGTGACACCAATCCTAAAAGATGTCCTTCACAACTCTGTACCTCTTGTCCTGTTGCCCGGATGCATCCGAATGTATTGTCTGGAACTCAACTAGACCATCTATATGACATGAGTTTAGTAATAGGCAAATACATCACCCCCTGGCAAACATGGACATGCAAATCTGTCTAACCCAAGTCGAGAAAACCTAAAATATTATAATTAGGTCATTGAATTAAATACATGTCAAAGATAAGCTTACCTGGACTTGTTCTGCTGTTAGCAGATACTTTGTTTCTGGGTGAGGAACTTTCAGATCCATAACCCTCATCACTGTTTTCAACCTTTATATCTTTTAGGTCTTCAAAATTTGCTTCCATGAAAATCATTTCATTAAGCGCATTGTTTTGCCAAACTAGGAAGATGAATATATATATACACATACATTTACTTAAATAACAATTTTTTTTCCCTGTGCAAATTCATTCTATGCAAAAGAAGTTGCAACACCAATACTCCGAAATGGGAGTAGAAAGTCGAGTGTATTTGTACACAGTTTGTGCCGCAGTGAGTAAATACTTGGGTGTTATTTTTTTTCCGCTTGGGCATAATGCAGGGTGGATTAAAATCTTGCAAAGGTTATATATTTTAAAAAGACTTGTATTGCATCTCATCAAATCTCTGCCACCTGAGACGGCATATTAAGGAACAATGACTCCTCCATTGTTTCTGGTAATTACATGATAATAAATAAATACTATTGTGTAAACGTATTATTTGCAATATTTTTCAATGTAACATCAAATACGACACGCGTTTAAGTGTAGAATCAGTTGAAGAACATTTAATATTTGACTCATCATATGACATCCCAGCTCTGCCTCTCCCATTTGGTGTGACCTCCACGGAGGAATCATGCAATGTTGTACTATTTTGTGATAGGAGCAGCTTGCTGACAGGTGCCACAACTTAAGCTGTTATAGTTGGTGTTGTAAGAAAAATAAATAAGAAAAATAAATACAGCCTCTGTATTTGGAAATATTGGCTCGCTCCCTCACCCCCTAATTTTGCATGTCTCAATACAAAATCTACTTTCCATTGCCACAAACATAGCCAGTAGCCATGTATTACACTTGAGGCTGGCTTGTTAATGCAGACTGTAAAAGGTTACTGGTTATCCAATCCAATGATAGTTGGAACTTTTTTCAAACAAAATTTTGCCTTTGTACAATTGCTATATTATAATAAAAAATAATAAAATGCTTGCATTTGATATAGCGCTTTTCATATTGAAAGAATGTCTCATTCAGAATGCTTCACGGGATTTACTGTAAAGTGTACAGACTGCATATTGTAGACAAATGTGGTAGCCAATTTGCGCACAGCAATGTCCCACAAACAGCTGTGCAGTTAATGACCATTTTATACAATACTTTGTACAATATTTCAATGTCCACACACATGCCCTTCCCCCCAAAAGTGACTTCAGGGTGTGATAAGTGGTGGGATGTGCAGCAAGAGTGAACTCGGTGATAAAAGGTTAAGCAATAGACATTGATACAGAGACCACAGTAAGAGCAGTTAGCTCATGTACATGTCCTCCAACACGCATGCCTGGCTATGCCAAATCTGTCTTTGAATGTGTATGTCAACAGGTTACAATAGACCCACTACTATAGAGAATATAGGTCATTGGAGGAGGCCATTCAAGTAATTCTGATGAAGGGTCGTGCTCTAAACTTCAAACCTTCTCTATGAGATTCTCACTTCCTGCATTTGTTTTTTATTTTAAGATTTTAGCAGGTAGATAATCTGAACCTCAACTCTCCTCCTACAAGGAATGCACTATATTAATAATCTGAGGGGATTTCATAATAATAATAATCCTCGCATTTGATGTGATGATAGAATTGGCCAATGATCACCACAGTAAAAGCTAGTAGCAGAATTGCAAATCCAGCATATTACAATTTGAGACAATTCTTAGACAATTTGAAAACACTGATCTTCACCTAATTTAAACACTTTTATATGAAGCTCATAATGTAAAAATCACACTTCAAAACCACTCTGCTGTCAAGTTCACACAAGTTCCGATACTTGTTCCCTTTCGTTCCCATTTAGTTTGCGAAAAGGAATTTGTGGCCAGCATACCACGATTTGTTGCTGACAGGACGTCTAAACAACAACAAGAAATTCTATTTGTATAGGATATTTCACGTCAGGATCATGTCTCAAACAGTCAGGGAAGATGGAGGAGGAGCGAGGTGATAGTAATCATGGTCAAAGAGGCAGGTTTTCAGGAAGCTTATGAAGACAAATAGAGAGGGTGCCAGGCAGAGGGATTTAGAGAGGGAATTCCAGGGGTAGGAGTAGTGACTAAAGGCTCAGCTGCTAATGGTGGGGCAGAGATAGTAAGGAATGTGCAGTACACCTGTTTTTTGACAAATGGAAGTAGGGAAAAGAAGCTGGAAAAGATCATAGGCATGAAGGAACTTGTATCCGGCACAATTCTGAGCTGAGCAGAGGCCAAAGTGATTTGCATTAGCTGAATATTCAATACAATATGCATTTATATAAACACCTTTCACGTTGGGAGGATCTCTCAAAGCACCTAACCAACAAAAAAGCATTGCATTTAGGCTCCAACACAAATTGCTTTGGTTCACACCAGAATTATATAGGTTTTTCACAGCAAATTATCTCATAAAACAGTGTAAACAACCTAATGCCCGAGAGATGTATGTGGTGTATATACTTGAAAGCATGTGATTCCACACAGCTATAACTAGTAGCAAAGCTCTTTGGTAATTTGAAACAACTTACTGTGATCTTCTTCAGGTAGTAGGAATGAGGATTTAGCACTCTCCAATGTACTGGGTGGCTCAATCTCAAAATCTGTCCAAATAATTCCATAAAATCAATGTTACACAGATGGTAATAAAAGGATACGTCAGTCAGAAGTCTCAAATGATCGATAAATTGAGCTCTAAACGTGTACATTATTTGTTTTAAATGATTCAGGAACTGCTTTGGGCCAGTCACAATTTTCAGTTCATGGTAACAATTTTAATGCAAGAATGTTGAACATTGGGGCAAAGAATTGTCCATTCACATCATAACAGTTTTTATGAGACAAATTGGCTGTCGCATTCGCTCACAAAACATACAGTCACAATTACAGTCTATCCTATGAAACACTTTGGGATGTCCTCCTGACATGAAAGCCACTAAACAAAATGTAAGGATTATTATTATTATTAAAAGGAAAAACTGGCATATCAATTGTGTGGAGGACAACCCAAAGCGATTCACAGGATATACTGTAAAGTGCAGTGACTCTGTGTTTAGTGAGCGACCTCGGCAATCAAGTTGTGCGTGAAGTGAATGATCAATTTTATTTGTCACAAAAATATATCCAATTCCCTCATGAAACTGCTCACATTCTTTGCCTCCATGGGTAAACTGGTCCATATTTGCATTACCTTTTACATAAAGTACAGGTGGTTAAAATGGAACTGTCTATTCATTCTTCTCCTTTAAAGTTAGACACAACAACCCCTTCTTGCAAATCTCTTAAGTATAATAATAATCCTTGCATTTGATATAGCGCCTTATCATATCTTCGAGACGTCTCAAAGCGCTTCGCAGAATATACTGTAAAGTGAATTGACTGCATATTTTGTGGGCAAAATGCAGCAGCTAATTGCACACAGCAGTGTGGATGACACCCAAACTGTACCTCTTTGCCTCCACCCTTGACTCCAGGACTACTGCTGTGGTCCTGGAGAATGTCTGTCAGACATCAAATCCTGGATGAGAGCTAACTTTCTTCATTTGAAAGTCAATATCAGTATCAGTTGAACCGAGGCTCTCCTAATTAGCTCCCGTCAGCACCTCCACATCTCAGGTGCTGCCAGCATCACCAACCAGGGATGCACACTCCACCTCACTGAGCTAGTCCAGAACCTTGGCGTCTTGTTTGATCTTCAACTATCCTTTCTACCCCACATCCACGAAATGACCCACTCTGCCTTACTCCACCTCCGCAACAGCTCTGCCACTGTCTCACAACGCAGGCCACTGAAGCCCTCATACAAGCTTTCATGACATTGAGGCTGACAATCCAAACTCCTTACTTGTTGGCCTCCTCAGCTCCTCCCTCCTCCTCTCCCGAAACCAGGCTCCATGACCCTACCACCACCATCCTTGCCCGACTCCACTGGCTTCCCATCACACAGAGGATACAGTTCAAGATCCTGGTCCTCACCTTCAAAACCCCCGACTTCTGCGACGTCCTAAACCCCCCCACCACCCTGCCCGCTCCCTCCCTTTATTTGTTTTTTTTGGAGGGATTATTACTCCAGAAAAGCGATCCACTAATCAACTAAAGAAAAGGCATGCAAACAAAACGTATAGTGAAGAATGCATTAATAAATAAACACAAATAAATAAAACTCCATTTATTTTGCTATTGAGACAACCACCTTGATTCCAGTAGATAAAATTATCTCTGCATTTCAGGGGGGAACTTATGTTTTACTAAATGTTGCTGTAATCCCTTTTGGAAAGAGAAAACATAATTTGTAAAACAAATTTTAATGAGAAAAACATGCCTATTTGTGATTTGTAGCTTTTAATTTGAATATCCTAACTTTTACTAAGCGTTTTGAATGACTACATTTTCATTGTGGTTGGAATTATTTTAGCTTGGAGGACTCTACTTAAAGTCATCTCTCAATGCCAAAAGGGTGAAATGTGAGTTCAAAGTGTACATATATATTCACATTTTTGCAATGTAAATCTTAGTAACAAATGGTCACTACACTCTAGGTTATAACTTACCATATTTCTTTTTAAGATTTTGCAGACTTCTGTACAGTTCTTCTCCCAGATGTCCAAAAGTCCCAATAAACATTTCGAAAGACATTTCACATAGATGTCTTCCATTGGTGTCAGAGGGAGACAGGATAATAGTAGAAGTGTCATATTGGTTTTTTTCGATGTAATAACTTAGCCAATCTAAAACTTCTTCTTGTCCCCAGAACTGTGGATCGGTGCTATACCAGGCGAAAGGCTCTGAAATAAACAATGAACTTGTGGTACTCTTGGAAATTGCTTCAAATGCTATAAGCATTATTCAGTGTGATGAGATTACAGTTGTAATTTTATTTCAACACATTCCCAACAATTGACTTGTGATACCATTGTGGCTAACTGATTAAACTCTGCATTAAATATGCAGCATCAAAATATGAATCTACTGAAAGTGCTGAAAGTAATTATTTTAATAAAGGATACGTTTGTTCATTTGTGTTTCACATTCACGCGCAGGTGGTTTAAAAGTGAAGGAATCATTCTAATTTCCATTAATCAGTATCATTTGCTATAAACAGAGCACTCAGTCATTTCATTTGAACTAACAATTACAACTCTATGACCAAATTTTAATGTAGGAGCAATTTATTGTAGAATACTATAAATCAAACATACATATTTTGTATTTTATTTAATTTCAGCTTTTCGCTAGACTGTCAAATAAATTCTGCTATCAGTAGCTTCCCCATGATTGACATTGAATGTAATAACTAGATGATTACTTCATGGATTCATAAGGTTTGGTCTCTCCTAGCTGAACGCCCTTTTGCAGACTTGTTATTATCCGGGTATGGGAGTTAGAATGAGAAAATAGATCAGGTTTCATGCTTTTATATTCGGCACAGCCCAGTATCAAATCTGTTCCTGGTGAAACAAATCCCATGCCACATAGGAACGATGCCTACATTCAGCTTATCTGCACTCAGTTAGGTCAGCAGAAATAACCTTCGTTGGACTTGAGTTCAGTTTTTTTTTATTAATATAAAAAGAAAAGTTTGATTAGAATCAAATTGTAAACTTGGCATTGAACCATTAAGTTTTTTTTGGCACCAGAGCAGCGAATTGTTTGGATATTTGAATTTGATACAGAATTTACATGTGGCTATTTGATCGTCCCAGATAATACAAAAGGCAGCTTGAATTTCATAAATACAGTTTGGATACAAAAACTTGCCAATTTCACCAGCTTTGGAGATTCAGTAAACCCTAGGATTATTGGCTTTGGATCAACACACATACTGTTTCTCACACCTGTAAAGTTTAGTTTGATATCTTACTTAACATGATACCTCACTCACACCTCAACATCTGTAATTAATGAAGCTTTTATCTGATGTAATATAGTTTATTTAAATGTACGATATCTCACCCACCCCCCCTCCCCCCCCCCCACACACACACAGGCATAAGATATTTTATGTAAAAAGTATGGGCCCAAGGAGACAATTGGAAAATCCACACCAGGCAGCAATTTTTTAAAAAAAAACTAATAATAATCCTTGCATTTGATATAGCGCTTTTCACATCTTCGAGACGTCTCAAAGTGCTTCACAGAATATACTGTAAAGTGAATTGACTGTATATTTTGTCGGCAAAATGCGGCAGCAAATTGCGCACAGCAGTGTCCCACAAACAGTCGTGGATTGAGTGACCAAATTATTTCACGTTGTGTTATTCAATTCCTCCGATAAAATTATTATTATTATTATAGTGCTTTAACCACTGAGCTACAGGACTCCACACAAAATAGGGATTTACAGTATTTTCAACACGGTCCTGTGCAAGACTAAAAAACTATTTCAGCTGAAGGCCTTGTTCAGTGTGAAATGTGGTTGCAATCTGAATGGTTAGTGCTGATGGCTCAATGTTAAAGAGAGAAACCGTTTTTACAAACATCTTGTTTTACCATATTTCTTTCCAATCCTAAATGCTGAACATCAACAACAGACATTGTCTATTAATCAGAAAGGCGTGAGGCTGGGATTTGTGGGCTTTGCTAAGCCAACAGTAATACTGGACATGATTGAGTGACAAAAGGTGCAAGTTAGCAGGTCAGACTATTTCTCCACATTAATCTTCCTATGAAATAGAGCAATTTGGTAGAACTGGCAAAACCCAGGAAATGAAGGCAGGGTGCTTGAAGTCTGTGGATTTATGGTATAACTTTCATAGTTATGACACAATATAAAACATTGTAAGCTTCTAGTAGTCTGATAAGCATAATTACAGTCTGTAATACTTCTAGTGATTACCATACCTTGCCTATTAAGTTGAAGTGGTGGCGCTGTTGTTTGCAGGGTTAAACTATAATGGTTGGGCTCTATGATGTTACAATGGCCTGAAACAGGATTCTCTTCGAGCTGATAGACAGAGCGTAGGGCACTGCCAATGCCAATAATTTCCATTCTTCGATGCTTCTACTACCACTGCAAATAACAAAACATCAGAAATAATCAGACAGTCTCCAGAATAGAGGACCTGTAAATTAAACGGCTAACTACAGTCAATTTGGAAATGTTAATAATAGGCAATACGGAAAGTGAATAAGGCATTCACCAGGGAAAGACTGATATTTTATTTTATGCTTTAAGTCATCGTAGGTTGAAAGTACATGATTTGGGAAGAATTATGGAGGGTTGTATTTCATGCTGTGTTATTCAATCCCTCAGATAAAATCTTCCAGATAAAATTAATCACTCACGACAAGAAGACGTCTAGAAGATGTGAAAAGCGCTATATCAAATGCAAGGATTATTATTATTATTATTATTGTTTGCGGGACATTGCTGTGCGCAAATTGGCTGCCACCATTGCCTACAAAATACAGTTACTACTTTACAGTAAATCTGATGAAGTGCTTTGAGATGCCATCTCGATGTAAACAGTACTATATCAATAAAATCATTATTATTAGTATTAATGAGTGGCATAGTGCCAGATCTCAACCAGTTAATATTATGAAGTTAAGAGTTCGTTACCTCTTTTAACTTTGTGTTGAGCTCACTCTCAGCTGGTGTCACTTGTCTTGAGCAATGCTTGTATTACTGTGTTCCAAGCTCTGACAGAAATGAAAGTATCTGTGTGCCGTACTTGTCAATGTGCCAAGGCCCACCTTTATTTCATGGCTTCTTAACTTCTTAACTTGCCAGTCTGGACTGAGAAACAGAGTTCTGGGGAAATTCAACTTGCTCTCTGCTGCATTCCATTGGCGCCAGTTAGAAATATTTGCATAAAAGTATTTGCATACACAAAGTGCAATACGCCACCAAGCAAAATGAAATCCTAGACACAGTTGACTCATTGATTTGGGCACAAATTTGAATCTTAATAACCATTAACTTTTAAGAAAATGACCAATGTAAAGGACTAAATGAAAGTTTATGTTCAAACCAGCTATGGAGGTTGATACATTCTTAGCAACTCCTAAAACAGCAAACTGTTAGCACCTCTACTCATTTATTTCAACGCTAAGATTTATGTACAACAATTTATTGTTGAGATTAAAACAAAATCCCTTCTTGCGGACACATTGGTTTAAACTTCTGACCAGACAGACAGAGCGCTGAGGGTGTAACTTTTGTTATGTCACAGCAGCAGGTTGCTGTAAATGTAAGATATATGTCTCATATATGTAAAATACATTACTAACTGTTGCATTTGATATAGCACCTTATCCATGATGGTGAGATGTCTCAAACGCTTCCCTGGATTTTACTGTGAAGCGTAGTGACTATACATATTAAAGTCTCATCCAAAGGATGGTATCTGCACCAGTGGAACAGATCCCCACCACTGTATTGGGGTGTCAGCCTGTACTGTGAATTCAAAGCCTTGGCATGTGGCTTGAACCTACAACCATTCTGACACAGAAGGTGTGACACAGTGCTACCGAGTGAAGCAGGCTGACACCTGCGATAGATACCCAATGCAGTATATCACATCACTGGATGTATTATTTTACTACTCTCACTATTTTTCCAGCAATATCCCCCTTGTGGCATTGAGATATACTGCAGATTCTAAAAAAAAAACTTACTGAGAATAGATTACATTACAACGTGTGGTCACCATTTACAATCAGGCTAAGCAAAAAAAAAATGCATTATGCACTGGTCAAGACCAGAAAACAAGTTAGCTTCTAATAGTGTGGTATTTTTAACTTGCAAGCTAGGCTCGGCTCATAATAGCACACCCTAAAGTGTATTACAGGATGACATATATGATATTGCGGTGATCTAATCCTGGCGTAATTCATACATTGTAAGATTTTTCACAGAGTCAAATGAAACAAGTGGTTTTGAAGAAACTGAGACTAAACCAGAAAATAGAAATCTGACACCAGAGCCAATGTAAAAACGGATGCTCAAGTAACTTCCATTAGAGGGTACTGACATATACCAGTTTTCTAAAACCTGTGCTTATATAATCTCAAGAAAATAGGACTAAATGATGGTTAAGGGCTAAGTATTAAAACTGCCAGGAATTTTATCACCTGATTCCATCCAAACAGAAAATTCCACATATTAAGAAGCAAGAATATGTTTAGCAGGTATTATCCATCCTTCGCATTGCATGATGAGTTTAAAGTCGACTGTTAGGAACTTAACCCTGCATTTTGATTTACCTATTTTGACTCCATGAAGATTTGACAATTTCAGTGGCTGAACACTGGAATATAACTTTGTCCTTTTCAAGACCTTGGGCTGCCGGTTCTAGATCAGTTTAATAATAATAATCCTTGCATTTGATATAGCGCTTTTCACGTCGGGAGGACGTCCCAAAGCGCTTCACAGAACACACTGTCAAGTGAATTGACTGTATATTTGTGGGCGAACGCGGCAGCCAATTGCGCACAGCAATGTCCCACAAACAGTCGTAGATTGAAAATGACCAATTTATTATTGTTTTTGTTTTTTGGAGGGATTATTATTAGGCTCTGTGTGGAGTAAGGAAACTTGCCCAAGGTTTCGCCCTGACATGCCTGGAATTGAACTCAGGTCTCTCGTTTAAAACTACTGGTGGAGCTAGGTAAGCAGCGAGAAGAGCACTGGAAAAATCTTTTCTCAATACAACAAAAGCCTGGCTAAGTGTTTCATCTATTGTGGGAGAGAGATATGTTTGTTTGCCTAAGGGATGATTTAATGTGAATGTTTAGAATTATGAAAGGGCTAGACAAAATAAAGCAGTGACCTATTTTTTTTTCGCTGATGGGTTCATCAGTTAACGAACAGACGATCTCAAAATTAGAGCAAAGCAGGTTAGGCGAGGACCAGAATAAGTAAGAATTGCTACTGAGTGCAAAAACCAAATAGGGTGGCTTCAATTTTGTTGGAAGTTCAGCTCAGAAACTTATGGCTCATCAAGGATAGCATTTGCGACACTCATTTTAAAATACTTCAACTGATGAATATTTTCAGGGTTGGAGAAAATGGCTGTTTTTGGTACATCGCTATGCACAATTGCACTGCCACATTTGCCTACAAATAGACAGTCACTCCATTTTACAATCATTCCTGTGAAGCGCTTTGAGATGTCCTTCGGACCTGATAAGGCTCTATACCAAATGCAAGGATTATTATTATTATAATATTGTGCTCGTCTTGCCAATTAGTTAATGAAATCAATTGCTTCTTTTAGTTGTAGCTGGGGAGATGCTTGAACAATCAATCACCCTGCACAATTCCTCACAGCAGGTGACAATTTATTTTGTCTATGATTAAAATGGGAACTGATTACCTTAATTGGAAATACGGAAGCACAGCTTAAGCAACTTAACCAACCAAGTGAAGCATAACAACAACCATTTCAGAAAAGTTCAATCAAATTTATTAGCAAAGTACTTATTAATGTCTGGCAAGTTAACTGAAGCACTTCAAAAGGAACAAAATAAAACCCATTGCACAATAAATTTAATTAAATGACAGGAATGTGACAGATAAATCACACATAGGGACTGCCCAGTGCTGAGGTGAAATGATGCGATGGAAGAAAGCACAAAGTACACCAGAAGTACAACATGCTAGAAATAAGAGCATAATAGAAACCACAATTAAGATACTTTACTTGTCCTAAATTTAGAAAGGAAAGGGTAGCAAGCAGGGAATAATACGTTCTGAGGCAAGGCATTTTTATCGAGCAGATACAATCGAGACCAGATAAATCTCATCAAAAGGAACACATAAACACAAAGTGTTAAAAGTGAGTGAAGAGCAGGTACCAGAGAGTGGAATTATTTGGTACACAAGACTGAGATGAGAAAATACTAAGAAATAGGTGAAACAAGTACACAAGGCAAACACATCCTATTGAGGAGCAAGAGTCCAGGCCCAATACTAAGACAATGTAGCTAAATCCTCCAAAGTTCTGATGCAAAGGATGACCAGAGATAAACTATTTATGTTCTTGGAAACTCCATAACTTGTGAAATGCATTATCTAATATGTATTTATGAAATATTTATAATTATGCTACAACCCTATAGGTTCATTTGACTCAAAAAGTAAATTTTCATTGTAGTGAATCTCAGTTTGTAGATTGATTTATGCTAGTTATACTATTTTATGCTGTATGAACAAAGACGCTAACATTGGTTATCAAAATAAGCGCAATGTAAGTAAATAGAACACAAAGATGTGACCAGCAATAAAGCTGAGATGCATGTTCATCTGAGTATTGCAACTTATCTAGATACCAAATGAGACAAGTGTGAAGAATAAACAACAACAACAACAACAAGATTCCATTTATAAAGCGCCTTTCATGTCGGGAGGACGTCCCAAGGCGCTGCACAGTTGGGTCATGACCCGAGCAGGGGGGAAATGGTCAGGGTGAGGGGAGAGAAGGGAGGGAGCGAGGAGGGGGAAGAGAGTCGAGAGGGGAGCTGAAGGCAGGGTCAAAGAGAAAGGTTTTGAGACCGGCCTTGAAGGAGGAAAGGGAGGAAGCAAGGCGAAGGCACTGGGGGATGGAGTTCCAGAGCCTGGGGGCTGAGAGGCTGAAGGCCCGACCACCGATGGTAGGGCGATTGGGGCGAGGGACGTGGAGTGGACCATTCACCGACCCCCACCAATCATCGGGATGGAATTCAGTCCTGTCAGTTGTGTACAAAACTTACCTTCTCCATATTCTTTCATCGAAAGAAATCGTTAAATTATTTCAGTGAGATGTTTGAATGAACACCGATTGAAATTAAACACTGCTACAAGGTTCAATTTGTTTATGTTCACCACATTTTGCATACCCAAAATAATGAACACTTTACTTTTTAAAAAAAATTACAACATTTAGGTACAGAATTCCTAAAAATTAACCAACAGATTACAGTAACAATTTGTCCTCGGAAAATAGACTTCATACGAACAAACATCAGTGTATTTTCAGGATCTTTGGTAGTAAAAAAAGTCTGTGATAAGCACATGGCACAATGTCATACCCAATAACATGGTATTGAATCTAAAGGCCATTTCAACCTGAGACTTCTACAAGGATACAAAATAATGCTCAGTGGTTTATATTTTGGCAAAACCAGCAAACTCCAATGTGTATCGTGATTACACCGCAACTTCAGTGATTTTATATTTAATTTGTTCTGAACAATTAGTTCTAAAATGTATAGTTCCTTTATTATTCAGAGAATTACTGCTCAATGAGATTGTTGTGTGCTCCTTGATACACAGATGCAGTTCTGTGATGCAGGCACAAGGCAATTTAGTGTCAAGGTAGACTGGTGCGAGCCTGCCATCGTGAAGAGGTGAAGAATAGTGAGAATGTTTATTACTATGCAGCAACGGGTGAAGAACTAAATCATTTTAGGAGAGGAGCCTTCAATAAACTACAGCGGGGAGAGAAGAAGGATTACGCAGGAGTACCTTAACCCACGGTTTACATCCATTGTAAAGAACAGCAGCTTAAGAGACATTTGGATATACAGTGGAAACCACTTTTGTCGGACGCCGGTAAACATGGAAATTGGGCAAATGAAACAAAACCCCTGGCCCTGATTCATTTGTACTATTACCCATTTTAAACATGTCTGCTAATTCAGACGAAAATCCGGTTACTCCGGGCAAAATATCACGCCTGGTCGCTGCTGAACCGACCCACTCGGGACTTCTGTGGTGTTGAACACCTCCATTCAGCCACGAGGGATGGGGATAAGGAGGGGTTGAATTGCAATTGACACCGGACTTCAGCCATTCACAAGGGGCTGGAGTTGGGCTGTCAATCAGTGAGGGGGTCGGAGAAACGTAGCAGAACAAGGGAGGGAATATCGGGATTGATTGACGGCTGAGCCGCTTGTGAATGGCTGAAGCTAATCGATTAATCTCAGAACCTCTTAGGTCGGACAAAATGTAACCGGCTTCCACTGTAAATGGATATATCCATCATGCCATCCATCGTACAGTGTCAGAACTCAACTTTCCTTAGTTCAGAAATAATCGATTGCAAACAAACCATCGTTATTTGGCCCACAAACATAGATGAAGTGGAATGCACCTTATAAACTGAACTCTAGTACAGTATGCAGTATTGAACGTGAGTACACTCTTCAACTAATATTATCCAGTACAGAAACAAATGCATGTATGCCAGTTTAATGTGAGTACCATCATTTAAGAAGGAAAGCAACACAATTGAGCTGGCTCTGCCAACCAAGCTTAAATAAAAGCAAATAAGTAAAAAGTACACTGTGAAATCCTAATCCAGTAGAATTTTCATTGACATGGATACCCTGAATGTACACCAATTTATATTAACAAATCTTCAAAAGTTTAATTAGCAATTTAATTGGTCTTCACAACTTCCCTGCTTTCATGTAAGAAGGGATGGTTCCACGAGCTGTTAGTCCTTCGAACCTCTTGTACGTGTAGTTGATGAATACCCAGTCTTTTGCTTTGTAATCAGATTCAACTGCATTTGGTACTGCAATTAAAAAGTAAACTTTATTCATTTGAAAGCTCAAAGTTAACACTTCTTGAATGCTCCTGAATTCTAAAAGCAAACAGTGAATACGACAATCATAAGATGTTAAAGCCCGTCTGCATTTATTTCTATAAATTATTTTGTCAACACATTTGAGTTTAAGGTTTTATGCCATACTTTATGATTTTTAAAAAACTTATTCCTATTATTTAGCAAGACTACAAATCTCCCCTTTGAAAATATTGGCTTTAATTCCCCTCATCAGTAGTTTCCGAATTGAATGATGACAACTTAAAACATTTATGTTAAACTCTTATTTTCCCCTTCTCCTCTCCCCAAGGTTATTTGGGGCTATATATATATGTATATATAATATATGTATATATCATATATATTCATAGGTGATTGCTGAATGGGCACACAAATTAGAGTAGCCTTTTGATTACTTGTTTAAGGGAATTGTTTTAATAGTATCTCCCATAATAACTAAGAGAGTTACTTGCAGCGATCAATCTCCATTGTTTTCCCTCTTTAACTTTTCCTGACTGTGATGAAACGAGACAGAGGTGATCCTTACGTATTTCCTGCCAATGTTATAACTATTTGCCGGGATATGCGCAAGAGCGGCCATGAAAACACACATTCCAATCCTCCCAGTTTCTCCAGGAAAACTGGATCACAGATACAGAAGCAAGCTCTCCTCTTTCAAATGCTTAATTGTGAGATCAATACAAAGAGTTTAACAAACTACATCTTACCTGGCTGTAAGATGTCAGATTCAGGAAATTCATCAAAATTGGAAGTGTCATCTATACTTCTTATTTCAATTGGAATTGCCGCTGGTCTCTCTCTGTCAAAAACAAAAGTATCATTAGCGTTGCAAATTCTGAAAAAAGGCGAGGTGGATTCAAGTAGAGTCAGTAATTTTCTTATTTATTATAAATCACAAAATACAAGAATCCCTGTGAAGCTTAGGTTTCCCCAGAAACGGCAGAGAATGCCGTCTGAGTCACATTATCCTCTGTACCATCGTGGACCTCATTTATAACAGAACAAAATGTCTTCCAAGATACATTAATCTAAATTGACATTTCAATTATTCACCTTTTCGGCGGAGTGAATGGAAAATGTACATTGGCTGCCATTCAACAGATAAATAGTTTGCAAAATGGATGCAGTTCAAAACCAATTGTAAAAATGTCAAAATAAAAGGCTGCTGAGCAATGCTGAAAATGCTGTGAAAGTCGGTCATAAAAAGAGTGAAAATGTCACACTATTATCAACCCTAAGACTGAAACAATCAAGATATATTACTACGTACAATATTTCAGCAAGATGTACTTGGAATAAAATCAGTTTTCTAAATTTAGTCATTCCCAAAACATGTTTAAGGGCTATCAACTTGTAAAAGTTATTGGCAAACCTTTTGAACTTTGGTCATAAGCATACACAATATCACGTTTAGAGAAAAAGAATGTTATAGAAATGCACATTTTGATGTTCGACGCTTAGTGGTAAAAGTATATGCCCTGAAAATTAAAAATAAATCTTAGTTCGCATTTGGAAAACAATATTAGCAAGAAAGTTGCATTCTGCTCCACATTACGTCTAATCCTTTGGATTTCATATCTGACACCATGCTACTAAGTATCTTTACGCCGAGGATTTTAAAATAACATATAAAAAGTTTCACTAAGTCCAATTTTATAAAAATCTGATGGGAATATAAAACTGTTTGCAGAATCTAAACATTACAAAATATACCTGGTGTGTTCCCAGTCCACTCCTTCAAAGAATGCATGACTTTTAATCTCTTCAACTCCGCTAGCTCCAGTTCGGCTATCTGCCTCACAGCAAAACCTGCAAATATACAATTACAACATAAACCGTTGCAGAAAGTCTTACTTTATGACCCCGCGATCACAAATTGAAAAGGTAACAAAAGTATTTGCCAACTTATCCTTTATCTATGCCTTTCTTTCCATTTTACTTTGCTTAATACCTAGTAATTATGGACAAATACATTGTGCTCTAAAAATCTACGGACTAATATATACTGGCACAATCTTAGCTTGGCAAGAATTTCACCTCATAAGAGAATACGTCCAACAGTAACAATAATACTTGCATATGATGTAGTGCCTTATCATGTTGTTGTGACATCTCCAAACAGTACAAATAGACACACATTTTAAACCAAAATCACAAGGACTCATTGCTTGGGTTGATTTGAACCTGGCTCTGTTACAAATTCCTTTAAAACTGGAGCATATACTAGATCACCAAGCAATATATTTGAAAACTAGAATTGAATCAAATCAATTGAATCTAAAGTATCTAAAAAATGGAAAGGAATAAGAATAAAAATAAGGAAATGGGCAACACAGTGTTCCCCGCAATATTCCATAATGCAGTGAATGTAGAAAAAAAAACGTAGCAGTCAGAAATGGAAATACTGGACTGATTCTTTTCTCTGTTTGTAGTTCCAAATCCCTGATTGTCCAGCGACTTGGGACGTCCTCCCGACCTGAAAAGCACTATGCAAATGTTATTTTGTATTGTATTTCTGCGCTGTAATCAGTCCAGTATTTCCATTTCTGACTGCTAGGTTTAGAGGTTGGCTTTCAACCAAGAATATTCCAACAAAGATACCTTTGAATCAGATCCTTCGACTTCTCGGAGATTGGAACCTCTGGAGGAAAAATTAATGTCTCCTTCCAGTTCATCACTTTCCGATAGGTTTCTTGAGGAGTTTCCGAACAAAATGGAGGGTACCCTGCAGGATACAAGAAGCTCAATGTCATAAATCAGGATGGGTCCAACCTTTTGGCTGGAGGGGGGTGGGGGGACGACATCCTATTTGAGAAATGTTCGCGGGCCGCATAAGCAATATTTTTTCTAGAAACTTAGCATAACACTTACGGTCGGGCAGGTGAATCTCTTAGGAGTAGATGGCTCGTACTTACCTATAAGCATTTCATACATAATAACTCCCAGGGACCACCAGTCACAGAGCTTGTTATACCCAGTCTGCATGAACACCTCTGGTGCAATGTAATCTGGAGTCCCGACAGTGGAGTAAGCCTAAAGAAAGGGAAATGCAAGGCTTTCAGGAACTGCAAGCAGAATAGCAAAGAACAAAAAAAAGCGCAGAAACACAATACAAAATAACATTTGCATAGTGCTTTTCACATCGGGAGGATATCCCAAGGCGCTGGACAATCAGGGATTTGGAACTACAAACAGAAACGATAAGAGTCAAAAAGTGGCAGATTGAGGCAGGTTCACCAATAGCAACTCAGTCACGAATGGGGAATCCTGCCAGGAACTGGCAATATTGTCATAGCCAATTCCACGATCCCCATTCAAAGGCACAGGAAGGAGATCACAGAGATTCCAGACAGCAGTACTGCCAGTTAATAACTCAAAGTCTCGATCAGTGAATTCCCTTGTGAATCGCCACTTTTCAATGCCAATATTACAAACCAGGAACCAGTTTTCAAGTTTAAAAATCTTCCGTTCTAATCAACACTTTGCGCATCATCGTTTAATAAAAGTTCCATGAGAATCCGTGAGCAGTCAACAGAAAAATATCAATAATTGTTTTAAAGTAAGGGTTTGCGACTACATCTAATCAGGGCTGAGGAAACTGTGGATAAGCCAGTGAGCGAAAAGTCACTAAAAATATGGCAACTAGTACATCTAGTTGTAACATTACTAAACAAAGTGAATGATTAAAATGCAACTTGCCAACTGGCGTCTGTTTTTCTTCCATGTTTCTGCTTTTCTTTTGGAATTCATGTTCTGAAAAGCTGTTGAAATATTAATGTCCAATGTGCAAATGACAAAACAAGCATTTATTTATACAGCGTCCTTCACGAGAGACAGTGTCTCGCGGCGCTTAAGTAACGCCTGGCCGGGGGGAGGCAGGAGGTGACTGTAAGCACGGTCAAAGAGGAAGGTTTTCAGTTCGTGGCCAAATTAAAAGACTTATCACAAGAAAACGTAGCATCACTTAACCTGTGGTTGATTAAATGCACTTACTGAAATCCCTGGGTGGGTTGTGGGTGAGGTTCCTGTAGAATTCAGTTCTGTGAGCTTTCTTCAATCCTGTGCACAGCCCAAAATCAGAGAGCTTCACATGACCCTACCCAAACAGAAAAGGCAATGTGAAAGAATTCTTTGTTCACAATTTCCGAGACAACTATCGGCATTTCAATCTTAAACGTATATATGGCTATAACTAAATACATTCTTGGGTGATACCAGCAAAATAGTTTTCTTCAATCATATTTGCTCACTGAAATCTTATTCAATTAGGATATTATTATATTTCAACTATAGGTCTTGAATAGTCAACTTTTATTGATTAAGGAATGAAATGTGAGCTTTAAAGAACCACAGACTATCTTTATTATTATTATTATTATTTGCACGTTGAACAGCATGTAGTGTGACAGTGCATACTAATCAGTGGGTAAGCTTCCATTATGCTCTATTATGTTTTGATAATTGACAATGTATTCTTCCTACAGATCGTTTCAAGATCGCTTGATTTTAAACCTTAAACCTCAAGTATCACATCTTATCAACTCGACTTAAAAGAACAACTATTTTATATGTCGGTGACTCAGTCACAAATGACAAATGAGTGTGCCCTGGGTCACATTTCAAAGTGCTTAACACGGCTGACTGGGTACTAGAGCTGTGGGTGGATGGGGAGATCAATGGCAGAAAGCGCGGACAAAGAGGTACATGTCCACACAAATCTTGAATTTGCTATATTTAAAAGGCCATTTTTTTTAAGAGCTCTTCCTATAAATGATGAGGTATTTGTACAGTAAAGATCACACAAGTCGCCATCAGTCAGGACTACAACATTTAATATGAGTATTGTCCATCTAATCTTCATCTCGCGTGATGTACTCACATCCAGGGGCTTACCCTGCTGTCTAAAAGGAGGTTATCTGGCTTAATGTCTCGATGAATGAAGCCCATTTGATGGATGGAATCTATGGCCAACACAGTCTCTGCAATGTAGAACTGAGTCTCTTCTTCAGATAAGGTATCCTTCTTCATAAGTAATGTCATCATGTCACCTGATGTGGTGGGGGGTGGGGGGGTGGGGGGGGAGAGAGAGAGAGAGAGATAGAAAATAAATAAGGTTAGATTAGTGCATGTAAAATCTCTGCAATTTTTTTTGGGTGGGGGAAAAGAGATAAAATTGTCAAAAATGTTCTACAAGATCATGGGAAATTAAAATAGATCACTAACCAACTTTTCACAGGTTTAGTTGTGTCAAACTCAAAGGGTATGAAATTCTTGTTGTTGCTAAGTGTAGCAGCTTTGACAATGTGCATTTAATATCTGTTTTTTCTCACAAAGGGTACAGATATCAAGGTCACTAGCTTGGTGCAAATGTTATTTTTTTTAAAAATTCTAAATGTCGCAAAGCTGGGACACATTTTCTTTACCTCCAGGAAGAAACTCCATAATCAAATACAAGTTTCTTTTGTCTTGAAAACTGTAGAACATTTTGACTACCCATGCTCCATCCGCTTCCACAAGGATATCTCGCTCAGCCCGAATGTGAGCTATCTGGAACAAAAACAGAATAAGAATAAATACCACCTCAAACAGACAACACATATACAACAACAACAAGATTCCATTTATAGAGCGCCTTTCACGTCGAGTGGACGTCCCAAGGCGCTGGACAGTTGGGTCAGGACCCGAACAGGGGGGAAATGGTGAGGGGAGGGAAGGGAGGGAGCGAGGAGGGGGTAGAGAGTCGAGAGGGGAGCTGAAGGCATGGTCAAAGAGAAAGGTCTTGAGACCGGCCTTGAGTGTAAGTATAGCCGACCTGCTGTAAGTATAGCCCCCAAATAAACCTTTGTAACCTTTAATCTATTTATAACCGCATCCAAAGCAAAATCAATATTTTCCTCTTTACAGAGTCAGACTCACTTCTTCCACTACAGCAAACTACAGCAAATCCAAATATCGATGATTCTAACAAACCACAATCTGAATCCTGCTGCCCTTGTATTTCTTTATATCAAACATGTCGACACCTCTCCTCTTTTAAGTGCTGAGTTCTCCAGAATGCAGGAAGATCAAGCTCAGCTGAGATTGCTCTGTAGACGAACAGCCTGGCAAAACGTATGACTCACACATAAAAAATGTGTCACTTGAACAAGGTAATCCAGCACCCAAGGAACAGTACCCCAGTAAGGAGGACAAAAATAAATTGAATTACACCAGGAGAAGAGTAGGAAATAGAATTGGTTTTCATGCATTAAGACTTTGGTTTCTGTGCATCAATTCATACCTGTTCCTTTTCTAACATGTCTGCCTTCCTAAGAATCTTCATGGCATAGATGTGTCCAGTGTCTTTCTTTTGCACGAGACGAACCTGAAAGTGGTTTTCCAAGAAGTCATCATCACACTACCACAACCAGATTTAACACTAAAAACATAGAATATTTTTTCACACCAACATTTAGCAGATTATCCTTAAAATGCACTATCACAAAGGAAGCTTTCTTATTTCATAGTATTGAAGATCATGTTGTGGTTATAAATATTTCAGTATAATAGTTTTGTTAAGAATGCACCTTTTACCAGAAGAATCTACTTTTATAGATTGAAGTGAATTATAGTGTTGTATTTTTGAAAATAGTTGGCCTTTTTGTTTTAAAAAGCATGTATGAAGATGAGATCATAAATTAAACAATTAAATCTATTCCAACAAAGGTGAATTTGTATTTTTTTTGTTCAAAATAAATAGAATTGTCAATCTATTAACATGGAATCTTTGTGGCATAAATTTGAATCAGGGGTTCAAAATTAATTTCACAAGATCATTTATGTCCTCCCACATTCTTGAAAACTACTTTATTCCCTTTATCTAGTTCCTTTCTCCAAATCCAGAAGAGTGACAAAATGCATTTTTCTGGCCCTCTTTTTAGTCAAACCAGTCAAAAAGCAGCAACTAATAACGCAGGCGAATTTGCTTACAGCCACAGTTAAACTTCTATTAGTTCAAGTCAAAGAAAACATTAAATCGCACATTATTTAAGATCACGGGATAAATCTAAACGTCAATGTGGTGTTTGAGGATGAACATTTCTCAGGCGTATTTAACCCATTTCACAATTTACTAATGCATGAATACCCTCGCGGTTAATAGGATTAGAAACACTGAACTTCCACAGAATTGTTGCCTGAATGGGCAATCAATTTAGCCATGGACATGAACACACTCATAAACGTGACGCCAAAATGTTCTGAGTGAAGGACAAAATGGGCAATAGGAAAATAAATTTGCTTGCTTCGCATATGGAATCTAAGTGCAAAGATTCATTTATTGCCTTTCACTAAAAAAAAGGCTTCATTTTTCAGAGGGGCTTTATATAATACAATGTAATTGTTTTTAAGATTAAGACAAGCCATCATGTAATCCTAGGGTCATTAAAGGGAATCCTTTGGTTCCTGTTGAGAAATTTACAGCACATAAAACAGGTCTTAACAGTTTAGTTTAAAAGTGGGAATTGTAGAGCGAGCTGTAAAAGTATTTAGAGAATGATTTGGGGAAGGTCCTAACAGGCCATGGATCAATGAGACACATGGTTTGGGAATGTCCAAATTGACTCCAAAGGTCTTTTCCAGTCCTGTACATTCCGGTTGGCAAACGGGTTTGGTGCTGAGCCTGTATAAAACTAGTAGCAGTAATAGGCTGCCCCTTAATTACTTTTGACAGTTCATAAAAAAAACACAGACAAACCTCTCCAAAAGCACCTCTTCCTATAACCTTCAGAGATTCAAAATCATCCAACCCCAATCTTGTCCGCTTGAGTCGGAGGAATTCGGTCTCTTTGCGGGCATGCTGAGTTCTTCGCATTCGTTTCTGGAAGCCAAAAAGATTTTCCTCATGTCATCAATTCAATAGCACAGCATATAAGACACAAGTTGTTCATTCAGCTGAAAGAATTTATGCTTTGGAAGCTTCACCATGTAGTTATAAACTCAAGTGCATCAACAATCATTTGCAGGATGGAGTTACACTGCCAGCTCCACATGGCTTGACTCTGGATCAGGAAAGACTCCCTTCCTAAGACCCAGAGGGAAGAAGAGACTTGCAAATATATCTGTCTGGCTGTAATTCAGTCACGTTTCCACAACAAAAAATTACATTTGTACAGCGCCTTTCATGTTGGGAGGACATCCCAAGGCACTGGAAAGTTAGAGTTAACTCTCCAGAGTTAAAAGGATCATAATAATCCATCCTGTTCCCCATGTCAGCTACTCCATAATACTAATAATGCTTGAATTTGATATAGAAGTTCATGGAACATTACATCATCGAAACACCACAAAATACTTCAGTGTTTTACTGTAACTGAAGGCAAGTGCAAAAGATAATATTTAAGGGTTTTGTAAAACTCCATTCTAATAAAACTATTGCTTGGACATGAAGACAACAATTGCTTACCTCCTCATCAGGCAGTCCTTCATCATCCATTACTTTTTCCAATTGCTTTTGTCTGGAAATTAAAATGAACACTGATTAGTTAGTTAAAATAATGATAAAGAAAAGATACAACAACTTGCACTTTTGTAGCACTTTTATAGAGAGAACATCTTAAAAAGTGCTTTACAAACGACTGAGCGGGAGCCAAAAGTATGAGGGAGATAGGAGGGGTAAGTGATCCAAAAAATGGTCAAAGAAATTTTTTTTTAGATGGAGCTTGAAAGCCACAATAAGGGGCAGGGCGAGGGTGGGGAGGGTAGAGGGATTTAGGAAGAGAATTCCAGATGTTGAAGGCAAAGTGCCTGAAAGCTCGCCTGTTGATAATGGGGTGGAACAAGCTTAAAGGAGGCCAGAGTTTACAGAGTAGAGGGAATGTCTGGAGGAGCTGGAATGCAGGAGATTACAGGAGTTACTGAGGTGGAGTGAGGCACTGCCGTGGAAGCATTTGAAGGAAAGCAAAAGATCTTAAAATTAATTTTCTCAGGGTTCAGGATTCAGGCAAGGATGGAGGTCGATAGAGTCAGCACCTGAAGTGAGGAGGCACAGTAAGGAGCTGAGCAGGATAGGCTCAATTTTGTCAATAAAGAGTTGGAGAAAATGAAACATTATAGTTTTTGAAAAAAAATCAACTAATTCTACAGTCTTTTAATACTGATTTCCCTTTGGTTGCTTGTATAACACCAACTTTGTTTAATGTCTGAAACTTGATGTAATACTCTCCTTAGTCAAAAGAGATCTCCTGTGAAATGAACACTGTGCCCGCTATTCCAGTTATAATTTAGGAAGAAATACGAGTGTTCCCTTGATCCTTCCAATTACAAAATCTTTCCGAGCCACGAATCCATTATATATATTACCACGGCCTCCGGTCTCTGGAGCCACAATTGTTAAGAAAATGTTCTCCTTTGTGACCACAAACAAATTGATACGGAAACTGCAGTCCTCAATCCCATTCAAAACACCGGCACAGTCATTAATTACTCCCACAGTGCATTGCCATCCAGACCAAACACTTAGGTTGGCAACATGACGTAACGCAGCCATAAATAACTTGGAACGCATCCAGTTTGCAAATCAGTGCCCTGCACTGCTGCCAGCCACACCCACGGAGAGTGGTGCCTGGAGAACAGAATCTCTTTATGCCAGCAACAAGGAACAACCGGAGCCAGCGCAGAGAGTCAAGAGTTTTGCAGCTGACCCCCACCTTCGGTGGCGCCGATATCAAGTGGTGTGCAGAGCCGGCCTCTGGGTTGCCAGTGTTCGATGAGAGAGGGAACATAAAAAAAAAACCTGTTACGAAACAGGTTTGGAAAAGCTAGTCGCAAAGCTTCATTCAATTCTGATAATTAACACAGCTGAAAACATCTTACTAACCCAGGTAGCTTTTGAGTTAAAAAAAACGCTCGATTTGTTGGGCTTAGAGACCTTGTCCGGTTCACTTTGCTTTTTTCCGCAGAAGAATGTGTTGATTATTACTTTAATCCCCCTACCTACCTGCCCGTACCCTCCGTTCCTCTGGCTCCGGTCTGCTCCACGTCCCCCGCCCCAACCGCCCTACCATCGGTGGTCGGGCCTTCAGCCTCTCAGCCCCCAGGCTCTGGAACTCTATCCCCCAGTGCCTTCGCCGCCTCCTCCCTTTCCTCCTTCAAGGCTGGTCTCAAGACCTTTCTCTTTGACTGAGCCTTCAGCTCCCCTCTCGACTCTCTTCCCCCTCCTCGCTCCCTCCTTTCCCTCCCCTCACCCTGACCATTTCCCCCCTCCTCGCTCCCTCCCTTCCCTCCCCTCACCCTGACCATTTCCCCCCTGCTCGGGTCATGACCCAACTGTGCAGCGCCTTGGGACGTCCTCCTGACGTGAAAGGCGCTTTATAAATGGAATCTTGTTGTTGTTGTTGTTGTTAATATTAATAAACACTGGTAATTTTGTCAAGAGGCAGGTATTTCAAATCTGATTCTAGACTGCTGTAGCTTGCATCAACATTTTAATTTCTCCCTGAAATGTACAATTAAAATGGCTGGCAATTTCCCCTCCAGACACTAAAATGCACCAGTTATGCAGTTTGGTGTGAACTATAAACTATAAGCAGTGCGTTAGATTTTCTTACAGTAACTGCTGACTTTCAAAATGATCCACTTTTATCTCCCCTTTCCCCCCCATAAGGCTCCCTATGACATTTGCATGTTCTATCTAATTGCATAGACTTAAGGGCACAGTGATCTGTGACTAATTCCATTAGTATGTTTACCAGAGCTTGAAATGGAGCTCAATAATGTTCAAGTACTTGTATGAAAGGTTATTTTACTTTCTGGAATTAGGTAATCAAGATGCATCCCTTCAGAGAGAGAGAATGCTAATTCTGTTCCAACAATCTATCCCTAGAATTTCCATGTGTAGGTGGGATGTATGGAACTCTGTTTGGTTGATCTTAAACATGGTGATGTGTCAGACACCCTTTTCAACTTTTAAAATTACTTTGGAAGGAGTTATTAGAACAAATTCTGCTTTCTTCAATAAAAATGACAACTGTAGCATCTACCCTCCTGGAAAGCAAAGGGGTGGTGGGGGTGGGGGAGGCGGAAGAAAGAGAGGCAAATGGGGTTTCCTTGGAGCTGAGCTGACTCCAAGGTGATGTGCTTGGAAACAGATTGTCAAAATCAAATCAATCCGCTGTGGTGGTCTCAGATCCTGTGCCAAGGGGGTCTGCAGGCCCTGCTGATCAGATACTTTGCCTCATCAGCTGGACTTGGCGGGCCCGATCAGTCACTGGGAGCAGGGATTCTTCTGCCTTAAATACTGTTAACCCTGCAATCCAAGGATGGTCCGAGCTGGACAAGCAGCAGGAAGCTTGCCAGACAGTGCTCTCGTCCACAAGCTAAGCAATTTTAGCCGGTTAAACTCCAGCAGCAACCCAATGAAAATCTGGGGTCACCAAGTCTTGACTGTCGCTGACCTGCGTTTAACACTCTGCGATACTAGGTAAGCTTCAAGGAGATAGAGCCCATTCCATTCCCACAGGAATTTCCGTGTGTAGGTAAGCATACATAGGTGGAATTCTTAGTCTGATTAGGATTCAGTTAAACATGGTGATGGGTTTCTGCATACGTCAGACACCTGGCTGACATTTTACTAATTCAAATGAAATTCCAGAGAATTGAAACATTCGACATACACAACACTTACTTTCGTTAGAAAACATTTGCTTGGGCTTAGCAATACAAGTGAAGCATTGGAATAGATCTGCTCAATTTCTTATGACAATTTGGAATCAGATAATTATTCAGCTCCTCGCTTCTCCCCCCTCCACCCACCTTCTGCCTTTTTGAAACAGTTTTCATGAGGTCACTGTTTCAACAAGTCTTCCAATTTCCCCTGAATTACAAACGTTAACTCTACAATCGAGTAAGGTGAAGTCAGACATTACCTCATTTCTCTCTCCTCGTGCTGCATAATCAAATTACTGTAGAAGTTTTCCAGCGTCAGTTTGGCTACAGTCACTCTCTCCCTTGTGTGATTACTCATGGGAAAGGATGTTGTGGTGCCTCCAGTCATTGCCATAATAACCTGTAGAGAAGAAACGAACATTTAAGCAGAGACGATTTGTCAATTTTCTCTGGACAACTGTCAGTTATGCAAATTGTTTAACAAGCTTAAACCAAAACACCCCAACAGGATATCTTCTGTTATAAAAGATGTAATAAAATTCTAAGATTGACAGGGTACCAGGTTTTTTTTTCTGTTCAAACTTGTTACAGGAGGTTGCAGATAGATTAATGAGTGGGCAGATCGATGACAAATGGAATTCAATGCACAAAAACGTGAAGTCGTGCATTTTGCGGGGGGAAAAAGGACAAAGCAAGGAAATGTGTCCTATAATAGTTATTCTTAATGGAGTGGGGGAGCAGAAGCATCCAGGAGTACAGAAGTAAAGCACGGAACTGAATGCCAACGTTATACACCGAGTGCGGGTGCAGAAAGGTTCAGTGAGAGAGGAAAGGCAAATGGTGGAGGATGGGACGGTTAATGGTATTCAAAGAGGTTGAGAAAGACAAGAAGGCAGAGGGAACCCTTGTCACAAAGTGAAAGTATGTCATTTGTGACTTTGAAGAGGACTTTCTCAATGCTGTAGGGCAGGGAGGGGGCAAATGTGAGACTGGAGGGGCTTGCACAGGGAGTGGAGGGAATGAGGGGAGTCAAGTTGAGTAACAACAAGAAGTTTCAACATAATTAGATGCCGATAAAAAGGCAATTTCTCCCCTTCCTCCATTCTTTTTAATCATAAATTGCGCTTCAAACATTATACTACTGTTGAGAGCTTGACAATAAACTGAAATGAAAAGCTAACCATGATTGAAAGCAGCAGCCCAGCTGTTTGATATGATATCTATATCATACGCTCAAACAGCAGTTCCTCAGCAGAATGACTTGCAAAATATCAGGAAACCACTCAGTGTATCCACAATATAATGGAAGAAATAAATTAGCCATCATTCAGCCTTCTGTGAATAGCTTTGCAGTTAGGGAAATGACGCATTTTCCTCAATTTTCTCAGTTTGCAAACAAATTGAACTTTGAATTTTAAAAAAATTCAAATGTTAATGTAGCTAGTACACAAGCTGATAAAAAAAATTATACACAAATAATAATCCTTGCATTTGATATATCACGTCTTTGAGACGTCTCAAAGTGCTTCAGAGAATATAGTGTAAAGGGAATTGACTGTGTATGTTGTGGGAGAAACGCAACAGCCAATTGCGCACAGCAGCGTCCCACAAATAGTCATGGATGAGTAAGCAATTTATTTTGAATTTTTTTTTAAGGAATTATTACCTCCGGAAAAGCGATCCACCAATCGACTAACAACCAGGTTCCTACTTACTGCTCGGTAAACAGAGCCGTGTGGAGTAAGGAAACTTGCCCAATGTTTCGTCCTGCCCGGGAATCAAACCCAGGTCCTCTCACTTGCGAGGCGAGCACGCTAGCCATTAAGCTACAGGACTCCAGGATGCTCTGGAATTTATTTGATCTCATTCTTTCAGATTAACCACACAAACATCGAAACATTATTACATATTAGTTGTTTCTTAAAGTAGTCAGGCATCCATGAGGCTATTCATTTTAATTGTGAGGAGTGAAAAAAGCTCTCTCGGATGGCCTAGTGGGTACATTTTATGGTTAAATGCACATGTGGTGTGGCACAGAGCCATACTGATGAACAGCATCTGTGGATGGAACTGGTCTGTGCTGCTCAGAATTGGCAATGCATATTTTCCCCCCAGCTCTCACTCAGGGGGTGAAGAAAAGTAAAAATAAGTGGAAAAAAGGAAATAATCAGCCCTGACGCCTGCTGGAAGAACATATTTGAGGCAGAAGAAGGTACGAATAGAGTAGATTTTGATGATTGGTGTAGCCAAATAGTCACCAATATTTACTGAGGAATAATTGCCATTTGGCCAAACAGTCGTTAAAATGGTGAAATCGGTGGACCAGTTTAGCGGAAGTTATCTTGAGGTGACAGATAAGTTGAGAACTTGTGCATTTCATACAGAGTTCCTTTTTTACATGTACAGCCAAAAAAAACTCAATTTTTTTTATAATTGCTGCTCAAGATTACAACTGAAACATAATAAAATGTGGATTTAGAGTGATTTTTAAAAAAAACAGGAAACAGAAGTCTGCTGATTAGAGCTTTGCAGGTGATGAAAGCTTGTGTTACAATACAGCGTACAAAACGGAACACTGCAGTTCCTCCCATTTTTAATCCTGAATCTATTCATTGCAGTCATCACACCAATAACCCATAAAAAAAACACTGCTGTAAAGAAATGCAGAAACGTATCCAATTATAGATCCAATTGTAGTCTTTCCGACCATTAATAAAGGCAAACATCTGTAATATATGTATGTTATAGTCAGCGCATTTATAATGTTGAATATGTTGTTGTATATTGTTGCTGTGAAGCCATGAATTTAAGGAGAGTAAACAAGTATGCTGCCAAAATTGATTGGCGATACTTCAATAATGAAAGATTCTCAATCTGTTGGAAAAGTTATAGACTTCAGAGCTCACCCAATAAAAATAGCTGCTGAACGCTTAAATGACATAATCATCTAATTAAAGAATCAGACAACAGACTTTGCTGACTTCTCTCTCTGATTAAGGAAGCTACACCCACCTAAAAACACATTCAGCTACAAGTTTTACCACTTACAATCTGACAGTACTTACATTTCCGCACTATTAATGCCTGATAGTTAGTTATCACACTGTCCTGGTGTGCACTAAGGCATTAAAATTAGTTACTACAGCTTGGCTCAATTGGAAGCACTCTAGCTATCTCACTACACAGCATGTTCAAGGTCCACTCAAGACGTGAGATCTAACCATTATTATATTGAGCCTAGGCCAGGCTTACCCACCCCCGTGCAGGAACGGGTGGAAGTGCATTCAGATAAGACATTAAACAAAGGTTGAATCTGCCTGTTCAGCTGAACAATAACAATCCCATGACACTATTTGGAGGAGAAGGCAGCTTCTCCCAGCATCCTGAGCAATAACCATCCATATAATAATTGATCATTAATTTCATGACAACATGTGCGACCTTGCTTTGTACAAATTGACTGCTCTGTTTCCCTACGCATACGGAAATACTGCATTTAACAGCAACTCCCTGTGAATTTCTCAGAGACATGGCAACATCATTGCTGGATAGTTCCCTAAACACCACTCTCAGTTAGGTTCTACAATCCAGGATAATGCCTTATGTCTGTGGAAAGAACATGAACTTTAAATGTGTTGATTGCAGATATCTGTAACTTTGCATACGTGAAATACTATCTGGGGCGTGCAGGTTATTTTAGTGCTTCAATGATGTGCCCCATTGATACTTCTTTACAAGACAATACCACTCAGCAACTGCTCAACTTTTAAATAGTCACTAAACTGAATAGCGTTATAAAAACAATGATTGGTTTTCCAATCATACCAGATCTACTCCTATTTCATCTGTCTACTGATCATCGTCGGCTTATGCAACAGCTGCAGCTAGTAGTACAACCTCACTCACTCCCTATCTACTTACCCAACCGGTGTAACAACTGCCCCAAATTACTTATGCATAGGGAATTATGAAGTCTACGCACCAAATTAGTTAGCATCTCTTTAAAAATACAATCAGGGGAATATTTTATTGACAACATTTCCCCCTCTACAGAGCTGTGAACTGCCAGGCTGCACAAGCCTCGTGGAGATGCATTGTAAGAGAATGAAAAAGTTCTAAATATAGCTGCACAGTCTAGTTCTCACTCAATTTCAGTTACTACAAAGCAAATATGCCAGTTACACAGCTCCAAAGGTCACACCTGTCTCTTGAGAGCAGCCAGACCCATTGTACCACATGAGCCACAACTCCCCCTGAACACATGAACTGCACATCAGTTTGATTGGAGTCTTGTAGCTCAGTGGTTTAGAGCACTCGCTTTGCAAGTGAGAGACCTGAGTTCAATTCCAGGCAGAGGGCGAAACCTTGGGCAAGTTTCCTTACTCCACACAGAGCCTAATGATAATCCCTCCAAAACCAAAAACAATAATAAATTGTCATTTTCAATCTACGACTGTTTGTGGGACATTGCTGTGCGCAATTGGCTGCCGCGTTCGCCCACAAATATACAGTCAATTTACTTTACAGTGTGTTCTGTGAAGCGCTTTGGGATGTCCTCCCGACGTGAAAAGCGCTATATCAAATGCAAGGATTATTATTGTTATTATTAACAACAACAAATTGCATTTACATCGCACCTTTCACGTTGGGTTGACATCCCCCAAAGTACTAGACAGTTGAGGTTTGATGGAGAACATCATTGAAGCACTGGTTTATTTTCTAAAATCGTTACTAGGATATACTCCACAGAAGCCAATCTGCTGCAAGTGTGAGTGAATCAGTTGAACATTTATACTCACGATCTTCCAATCCATAATTGTAGGTACACCTTTATTGGGAAATGGGAGAAAGCGTTTTGAGGAGAGAAAAAGGAGCTGATTTCAGAGTGGCATTGGTGGAGGCCGAAGTTCTTGAGAAGTTTGAGCACTAGAAACGACACGTGGTGTGGGATGACTCCAGGAAGGAGGAAGGGAAAAAAATTGTGCCATCTCATCACAAATAGGAGGATGGTTTAATAATTAATCTAGCATTTACACAAACAGCCACAGTCAATAACCAATTTTATTTGGAAGATTGCTTTTCCTGGACACTGGGAGAAATCCCTTCTCTTTTCCAATAGTACCATGAGACCTTTCACATGCAAACCCTCAACTGTCTAGTACTTTGGGATGTGAACCCAACGCGAAAGGTGCGATATAAATGCAATTTGTTGTTGTTGTCCACCCAAACAGTCAGACAAGACCTCGGTTTAACATGTCATCAGCAGTCATTTGCCCCAGCGTCGCCCCCCAAAACACCAATGAGCTGAATGACCAATTAACCTGCATTGCTGTCCAGAACACCAAGAGATGACTGACTAGTACAAGGGATCTTTAACATGTAAATGAGCAAGTAGATATG